AAGCTGCTATCGAATATAATTCTTAGCGGAACCGATATTTCTCTCGCGGTTTCCTTAATGACTCTCGCAGGAATCCCATCGGGGCCGGTCGCCTTGCCCACCTTCAGCTTCCCTATCATATTCTCGATCATCTCCTCGGTGATGGAAATATCCTCGATGCGAGCGGAGGTCACCTCCTCCAAAGTCGGTGCCGAGTCTTAATATATCCTCACATCTGAATCTAAAACAGAATCTGAACTTCAACACCCAGCCAGAAAAGTGATTTCTTTGATGATATAGATTCAATTTAATAAAATATCCCAGACTTCCTCAAAGATTGATAAATAAGTTCAGCCATTTCTGCTTTTTGTTGTAGTTACCTTGCTTCAAAGGAATGCAGAAAGTATTGCCCCTCCAGGAGCTATTAAATTAAAACTTATATGTAATTTGGCATTCAGTCGTAGTTAGCTTTGCCATTAGGCACAAGGCATGCCCAATAACTTTTTGGCCTGACCACATACACACACATGGTGATGTGTATGTAAATAGTTTTTTTTAGCAATGTGAATTTTAAGGCTGACCTTTGCCTAAAGTAAATTTGCATCTCAAAACTCAGTGAAAGTGTCAATAGAAATGCATCATCACTTTAGTATCCCTCAGTAGCATGCCCAAAATATCTGCACTTGCTCAATGTGATCTCCCTTCATGTCTACAATTGCTTGCATGTCTATGATTTGGGATATGCAAAGATAGATGGCTGACCGAAGCTGTCCAGCATCCAACATGGCAACATGATGGTGAATAACATGTTTGAGGTCCCTAAAGGTGGCAGGTGCTGCACGATAAAAAGGCTTGAGATATCCTCAAAGCCAAAGTCTGCTGGGGTAAGGTCAGGTGAGAGGCCACGTCTTAATAATATGGTGGCTGATTATCCGGTCACCAAAGGATGTCTGCAAGAGAAATTTTACAGTGCAAGAAACAATCTTCATGCAAGATGAGGCTCCTCACATTGAATAGACTTCAGATGGATGACTGGACTATATCCTATGTTAGCCAGTCCTCATTGCCTAGCTGACTGTCAGTCATGTTTGTGCTTGGTTGAATCAACTACTTCCAAACTGCAGTCATGAAAAACATGGAGATCTGAGCTTCCTTAACCCTTTGAGGAGTGGGTTTTTTTAACATCTAAAAGATCACCCATAGTGAATACATGGAGGGCAGGAGGATGTCAGCCCATATACAGGTATATATGGGCATACTCATCAAAGGGTTAATCAGTATAGACCAAGCTCTCAAATGATAAATACATCATGATCCTAGAATTTTATTTAGGGATGTATCGATACATTGCCAATTACCAGTATCGGCAGCATGTATGGCACCATTGGCCATCGGTAGGTTTGCAATATGTCGATGCCTGACAAGAAGGCACTGAACTAAGACGAGATAATAAAAACATCACATGAACGTGGCTCAATAAATGATTTTTCAATGCAAGGAGATGACAGAAGACTGATAGAGGTCCACACCCTAATCAAGGCAAGAAATTACTGAAGTCAAGCCTCCATCAAGTCACGACGAAGGAAGGATGATTGAATCCTCTGGCACTCCTCCCTCTCCCATGATGCATCATCAATAGTTCATATCAATGTTTTCAAAACAGCCATTCTTACAGCACCCAAAAAAAAGCATGGCATGTCTTCCTAGTAGGCCTATTTGAATGTGTATTTGATGTCATGGTTCCTTGCACTTCCTGCACATGTCACAATATGCATCAACATCGACTAATGGGTTTAAGATCATAATCAGTCATCGTTGGCCAAATGTGGCCACCAGTACAGCCCTAATTTTATTTTTCAAGATTTCATTTGAAAACTTTTTGCTATCTCTGTATTCTGGCTGCTGCCAGACAATTGGGGTAATGAAGATATGGGCCTGTGGAACATGCATGTATCTGACATATATCCCCAACCTATATGGGATTCAGCCAAATTTTTCCAGGTGGCAATGGATCAAATGGAGAAGGAGTACAGTGCTATGTAATTCTTCCCTTCCAATTAGTTTGTGAGCAGGAACAGCTCTTAAATAAATAAAAAACCTGATTACAGCATATACACATCAGGTAACATCCACCTGCATGTGCACTTCTCTATGATTAAGTTGACGAAGTTGTTTGAGCACTTACGGAGGTGGACGGGTGAGATCCCACTCACTCCACAACTGATTTTCACCAGACATCTGTTCCTGATTCGAGCTGGAAAGAGATAGCAAAAATATTTAACCTATGGTTCCTGATACGAGAGTCTCCATCAGATGTGATGGAAATTCCATAATTGGATACCCTTGGAGTTGAAACTAAATACCATTGTTGTTTAAGAATAAGTACCAGAGGGCATCTCCTCCATCATTGCTTTTATGCACAAGTTCACAGATGGATAATTGTCACCAAGGCAACATGAATGATTACTTTAATCAAAAATGGACATTCGTGGTCTTCTAAAAATCCCTGAGAAGTTAATCTGTTAAGACAAGAACATCTCTTTGTCAGGTAGGCTCATAGGTGGTATTCCTGAATCTTATAACTGTTCTCTATTAAATAAAATCAACTAAATTTTAAAATGTGAACTTCCTAGGTTGATACTGTTCTTAGCTATGTTGTACTAAATCTGCAATGATAATGATCAATCTCTGGTGGGTTATCCATCAAAGGATGTTTTATTCTTCTTTTTCAATTTGCAAGAAAGTAAGCAAGAAGATGGACTTGACTATACAGAAAATGAGGGCCACACAAGGTCAAACTCACCTCATGGTACCTCTGGTAGAGCTGTTTATGCTATTCAGAAGAGATGACTTTTCACCCACATTGGAACCTCCAAAGGGTGCATAGGAATCACTTTGATGACTGCTCCCATATCCAAGGGAAGACTCTGAGAAACCTCTCCTTCCAAGGTCACCAACCTAAATGTTCATGAAAATGAGAATGTAATTCAACTGGTAACAATTACACAACTTTCAATTAATCTCAGTCTGGGCATTGGAACTGTAGGAAAAACATTCTGTTCTGGTATAACATTATCGCTGGAATAAAGTTCCATTCCAGAGCGTTTTAATGTTGGAATTTATGACATTTCATTCCATTATAACATTTCATAACATTATCAATAAAGTTCCAATGCACACACCCAGCATGTCTCTATTAAAATCTCCTTTATTCCAATGTTGACTCAGATTGCAAGTGTCAGCTTTGGTATGCTGGTAGATCCCTAGTTAGCCCCTCAGAATAATGATACAAACAGTTACAAACCAGTACAATCAGAAAGTTTTGTTCTGTTATATTGTTCCTTCTCCCTCATCCTTATTGTTCTGTTCCAGTTTACTGTTCCGTTCCAGCTCCAACACCCTGATCTCAGTAGACACTTTGAAACTAACTGACTAAAATGGATATAAGAAATTTAAAAAATGACAACAGAAATACTGGAGATCAGTGTCTCCAGATACATCAAAGACATACCCAGTCCTTCATATTCACATACAGCCCTAAATCAAATCCATTCGTGTCACATCTTCAGAGTTAGGGGCACTACAGCACTCAGATGATGTGTCTATCCCATTGTCTCCTATGGTATTAGGAGGTTGCTTTGGGCATGGGAATTCATGCCAGTAATATGACCACAATCCACACTTTTGGGTCAGGTCTGATTTCATCTTGAGTAGTGACTTCAGGTAGGGCAACTCTACAGAGCATTTATGGATGAACCAACTCAAAAAAGGTCAACAATGGAGATTGAGTGCTCAGCAGTCATTTTGACATATACACAAAGGATGGGGTTTCAGAAGATTTTCATGTGAATATGAAAGACTCGTTTTGATGGCATTATTCTGGTAAGTACTTCAACCATGCATGGAAGGCACATTTTCTGAAGTAATGCAAGATCAAGGGTAGTATAATTCACTGCTGGATCGAGGCAAGCAGAAGATATTCTGGCCTGAAATGTCTTTTAACCCATTCAGACCTGGTGTCCATTCCAATGGACATTACATTTCCATTGTGTCTAAGGCAATTTCTTGGGATTCTTGCGACTTTGTGCCCCATATTACACTACAATGGGTGCAATTATGCATGGCTCAATTCCATCAGAGGCCTTCTTTCACCCATCAGTTTTGTAAGCTTCAGTTATCTAATTAAATATATTATATATTATATATGGTGTGATATGGTAAATTTATATAAAATATAAAAACGATATATAAAAAAAAATAATTTAATTTTAAAAAGTGAAAGAGCTCAAAAATTCAAAAAAGGATATTATTCCAATTGTGGCCTTAATTCAGGTCTGAAATGGTTAATTTGATGCCATTTTGATGGATTGGTGAAAGATGGTATTTACTTGAGAGCATTTCAGTGACTCCAGCCCCCTTCTCCACTGAAGTAATTTAATAAATAAGTCCTTCCATACCCCATAATCTGAAAACAGGAAGAAGCTGCTTTAGTTTTGTCAGGGTCCCCAGGAGTACTAGACTGAATGGCAGAGTTTGAAGTGCACCTTAAATTTTCATGTGAAGCTTCAAAATCATTAATGACATCTCACATGGGACACAAACAAACAAATAACTGCCACCGCAAAGCTTCCATTAAGATATTGCATGCATAAGTCTACTCACACAAAATGGGCAGTAAGACACACATCAGACCTAGAACAAAGAGCTACAACAAAGTTAACGCATTTACTGCCAGGTATTTAAGTGGTTCAAGCCATTATTGGCACTGGGAAAATGACTTTATAAAAATGGCTATCACTGTGATTGGCAGCGGATGTGTTAAGTTAGATCAAATTGAAAAACCTGATACAATTGCGAATAGTATCAGATTTTTCAATCAGGATTCAGCATGATGGAATCAGTAAGTGGTTTACCTTTTGGGCTAATGAAGAGACCCGAAATGAAACATTCCCAAGCAGACTGTCATCTTTGGCCTTAAAGCAAAAGCAAATGAAAACCAATAAAATGTCGAACTACAGCAACACATGATTCTGTAAAGCATTCCCAAGCAACAAAACCTCAAAAAAGCCACTTGAACTAGCATATATACATGAGAATAAATGAATCATAACAAAATGTGCATATGTCTCATGTCCCACTCTCCCAATTTGGGAACACCAGACCTGATATTGGAAAGAAAAGCTCAAATACAATAAATAACCTATCTGGTACAGCACCTTTAAGGATCATTTCAAGAACTGTAAGGTGTCCTTGTTCTCAATAGCAAATTATATGCAATCAAAAGCATTTGCATTTTCAGATTACCATGTGTATGAAATGATGGCTTCTAGCCAAAACATTGTTGGCTTGGTGAAATGTGATTCAGTGTCCATGACTTTCAAGCTGGTAAAATTAGACATAGCAAAACAGGCAAGGCTGAAAACAAGGATACATCGAGACTTCTTGAATGATCTGCATATGTCTAGATCTTCCAAAAAATAGGTTATACCCCATCTCCCATTGTCCCTCTCCATTCTTGAACCCTCTGAGTAGCAATGGAACCGAGACGTGCTGCACTCTCTGAAGCCTTGGAGACAAATTTCCCAGCACCAAAGGAGAAGGATGACCATCCCTGGAAGATGTAACAAGACAATAAAAACAAAATGCAGTCAAATACAAATTCATTAAGGCTCACATCTAACAAGCAAATTAGAAACTTTCAATGGTTGTGCCTCCAGCACTCAAAATCTAAGATAGAGAATAATTCATATGAAACATCTGTTTTTGGCTATCCCACTTATTCATGTTGTTTAATCCTTTGGGTTATAGATATTTTCCCTCATGGTGTAATGTTACCTCTGGTTGTGCAATGTCATGGCCAGCCTGATGGTAGCAAAATCAAAGAATCCAAGATTCTTTGCTTTCCCTCAAAAAGTCCATAGGAAATTTTTTCTAAAGTACATTTCATAACACAGCAGTAAGAGTTGTTTTCTTGAAAGAAAAGTGATTAGATTAAAGAAAAGATTACCCATCTCCCACTCCAATAAAGTCCTGGAGTGTGCTGTACCCCAATTGTAAAATTTTTCTTGAAAAAACAAAAAAGAAACTCCATATACATTTCCTTTTGGTTTCTATAGCCACCCCCATTTACTGGAACAAAGAAATGGTTGAAAAGTCCCTAAGAAAGAATTCGTGCCTCTAGAGCTGGGGTTCTTAACCTTTTTCTACCTACACATCCCCTGCATCCACCACGCACCTCTGCCCGCACCCCTGCTCTAGAGGATATACATCAAGATTTTCATTGAAATATGTTTCCTAGAGCTACATGTTTACAAGAGTTCAGATTCTATATCTACCTGTTTCGCTGGAAAAATATTTATTGCAAAACATCCCCAAAAAAGTATACCTCTAGGAAATTTATCCTAAAAGTATGAATTCTCCTTGCTTCTACACATAAAAGGTACTGATATACCAAGTTTCAGTTTTCTGTATCTTTCAATTTTGTAGGAGAAACAATTTCTGTTGCAAAAAATGTGCCCTGAGGTGGTGTACCTCAAAAGTAAAATTGTATTTAAATTAGTACCCAGTACAGGCTAGGAAAACCCTTGCAAACCTGTGAACGAGGTTCGCAGGAACGGAAACACATGGGCAGGCGGCCCACTTAGTCCACTTGCATATCCTTCCTGGGAAATTCCAATTTGTTGCATAAGGTTCGTGGAAAAAAAAAAATTTCCTACACTGACCCAGTACCCACTTGTATACTGAATTGCAGGTTTCAATATTTGTTCAATTTGATGGAGCAAAAAATTGCTTTAGCAAGTTAGCTGTTAAACAGAAGTTTGGGAATTGTGCTTTGAGTGCTAAACATCCACAACCTGGAATTTTTTAAGTCATACCAAATATTTGCATCAGCATGATACACTTTGCAGCCATGTTAAAATGTGTCTCTGTCAAGAAATGTATTCTGGTGGGATATGTCTCAAAAGTAAAAATATTAATGAAATTCATATCTAGAGAATTACCAAAGTAGTAAGTTTTACCTTTCTATAATTTTCTACTTTGTTGGGGCAAAAAATTCCTAGAAATACCTTCTCCCACAGAATATATCACTTGAGAGTACAGTATACACCTCAAAAGTAAGATTTTTCTTCAAATATTCCAGAAATACTGCTCTACCAAATTTCAGGTCTCCAAATCTTCCTATATTGCTGGCGCAAAAAAAAAAGAAAAAAAAAAAAGCAGCTCTGGGGGATGCATTTCAAAAGAAGGAACTAACCAGAAATCAGCAATCAATTAACTACTTGTACACCAAATTTTAACTTTTTCCTTTGTTGAGACCACTTTGTTAGACTGTTATGGACTTTATTGGAAAGTTGTTTAAACATGTTTTCACAAAAAATTGTGCCCTGGGGGTATGAGCCTTAAAAGTTGCATTTTCCCATAGCTCTACACTCCAGCAGCTCCTTGTGTACTAACTTTCAAGTTTATACCATATCTAGAATATAGTAAGAATTTGTGTCAGTCACTCACTTACTATTTGTTATATTTATTAGATTAAAGCTGCAGACATTCGCCAATTTGAATAAAAGTGATCATAAATCATAAGCTCAGCTAAATTGGAGCCACAACTTAGATATCTAGCCCCCCAGTGTGAAACCTGGCATGTTGTATGAATAAATGAGAGCTTTGCAAAAGCTAGAAATTATTGGAGTCTGCTGTGAGGTAGACTTAGCTATGAAGTCTGGATAGGTGATCTGTGATAATGTATCCCAACAGCCAGGTGTAACTTTTGTTTTATAGATCCATAATATAAAAAATGTACATATTAACTTTTCTCAAGTTTGATTCTACAAGGTGATCAGCTTAAATGTGACACATTTCACTAATTTTTCAATCTGTAGCTGTTACAAATTTGGATAATTTTCAAAATAATTTTCAGGAACACAAATATACTCTGTCTTGGAGTTTTTCTCAATCTACTAAAAAAGATTATTGTGGTCAGATGGCCTCCATTATTTGCAATACAATCCAGAACTCCTATTCTCATGCTATGCATCACTTGACACAGGTCACTGTCTATTTTTCTAATTTCTGCATTGCATGTGGGTCACACTCTTTGTAGCAAAGTAAAAATCTACAATTGCAGGTGTCAAATATCCTAATGTGCCATCTTGAACAAAACTCCAGTGCTGCTACTTTCTAACTGGGAAAAGTTGAAGGACTTGCAATCACACTTTGGTGGTATATTTGAAACAAAAATGTGCCAGATTTAAGCTGATTCCCCTGTATTGCAGAATGAACCCAAGACACTGAGTTTGTGACCTATGACTCACTCTTCTATTTCCCACAAATACAGGGTGAGTCAAAAATCCCTGAACAACTTTGAACTGCTACGACTCGGCAAGGAAAGCATCAATTTGCAAGCGAGCGTGCAATAATTAACAAATATGCAACGTTGAAAAAAAAATCATTTATTTATTTGGCATAAAAATGACTGTAATTACTGGCCATGATATTGAGCACCATCAAGCTTGATCACGCAACCTGTCACCGAAAGGCAACTCCAACAATCTTCTCAGTGACGCGTTGGTTCAGTTTAATGATCGTGCATGAATTTTTTGGCATATCCCTGGTCTGTAAATGAAATCCCACAACCAGAAGCCGAGTGGAAGCAGGTCTGGTGATCTGGGAGGCCACTCGATAGGCCCAACCTGGCCAATCCACCTGCCTTCAAAGCAAAGTGATGCTTCACTTTGGGAAGATTTCCTTCACAGATAGAGAATAAATTTATGATGGCAACTATTCCTCCATAGAAAGTTTATCAACATTATCAGAAAACCATATGGAGGGGTAAAAAATAACAGAAAATAATAGTGAATAGGGCATCCATTTTTCCCTTAAATATCATGTTCATGTTTAAAAATGTTTCTTTTCTTTTTTGCAGGCTCATCCCATTTCTTATTGGTATTTCACACAAATTTCCATATTGTTTCGTCAATTAACACGCTCTTTCATGTGCTAAAAACCGTTTGCAAATTAATGCCTTCCTTGCAGAGTTATAGCTGTTCAAAGTCATCCAGTGACTTTAGACTCACCCTGTATAACCTCTTGGTATAACAGAAATCAGGGGTTTGATTCTCAAAGTGAATTAATTTTCATGCTAATTGCCACAATGGATAATGGGAAAATGAAGAGCATCATGAAGAGCATCACTGCAAGCACTGAATAGCAAGTCATTCACCATGTGACACTGTCATGTCCACTGCTGTGTTGATCATTCCAATTCTTCAGAACTCAAGCTTCAAACTCAAGTGAAAATTAACTCAAGAAATGGAGGAAAACACACACTCAACTCAATCTCTGAACTAGGCCTCAGGTTTTACTCATTTGACCCATTGCTTGAATGAAGTACAATGCATTTGGCTGATCTGTTATATGCATTAAAATTGGGCAAACTTGCAAATAAGCTACCTACTAAACTGTGTGCTACTGGAATCTTGGATATAAGATCGAAATTGAATTCAGTACCTGAACAATTTAAATTTAAGTGATAATTGAATGCCTCTAGAAAAGGAAAACTCACAGATACCAGGGAGGACATGGCTGAACTCAACCGATCTTGAGATGCACCATGAGGGGGATCCATGGTATAGCCAAAACCCGAGTATTGACCGCCTTGAGATGGAGGGAGGTGACTAGAAGGAATAGAATTTGCATCAAATCAACACCATACCAATGATCCAGTATAGTAGTTCAAGAAGAGAGTTGGTTGACAGCAAAAAATGTTGCTTTAAAATTATTTTTAATAGCTAAATGACACCAGAAGGTACCTTGGTCTCATAGCATTCTCCTGCTGCTTCATTGATAAGAATGCTTCTGTCTGGTTTTGACAAGATAATGTCTGATAGCCTTCAAAGTCTCCCATAGCATAGGAATACTGGCATGACTTCTGAGGGGCTTCTGAAACAATGCCTAAGCTCAAGTCATCATGCTGAATAATGGAAGAAGCTCTCTTTGTAGATGCAGGCATTTTCCACTCCTTCCCCTCAGCAAGAGCTGAAATCTGTAAAATTAAATAAATATATATATTTGTGCCTGCTTAGAGTCACAGAGCCTTCCAACTATCACTCAAGAAAACTAAAAAATTATATTAGCTGCCAAGTTTGTCATCTGGCCACTAATGGATGCTGTTTCAACATAGTACACCCTACAGTGAGCAATGGCCATACAGGCCACTATCAGTTCACCTTACCACTCTTTGGAGTAGACAGAACTAGCCCAACTGTTGCACAAAAGATTGGTTTTAAAATCATGAGGAGTATTGTGAGCTCAGAAATTTCCTCAGAAGTTTTACTTTTCTTCACTAGAAACACTTCCCCCTGTGTGATTCATGATATTAGTCATCTTCAGAAATATCAAACTCATATGGCAAGCAAGTCTCACATAGGTAGCATACAGACTGTTCACAAAAGCAACAGTTCACTCAGAACTTATCAGTATCATAACACACAAACAGTCATTTGCATTAGGAAAACCTCCTATTCTCAGATATTTCATTCAATACATGGAGTCCAATGAAATTGCCAATTGCAAACATTGCAACATTTTCAAAGTCAATTAAACTCACATTCTTGATTTTAACATCAGTTCATTCCATAAAGTCTGAAGTTTAAAGTTTAAGGTAATTCCCACTTGCTGGCATTCATCATATCTGCTTTTGGAGTTGCTTTTGCAATACTGGAATGATGCAAGCAAAATTTGAATAGCAGGTTACTGCTAATCTTAAAATTTACTTGAACCAACTCCAAAATGACATACATTAAGTGGTGCTCATTCCAATGTAGGTCTAGTTGCTGAACAAACAAAACTCCCCATGTAATGAATTCATGAATGGCCAAAAATAGAAGAGATATATATGCCTATTTTATGCATAGACACATACAATTTCAACATGGGTCAACATCAGGATAAAATGTCTCATTTCATACCTTGTCCCTATAAAGGGAAGCTGCTTTGGTATTGTACTTCTGTTGGATTGGAGATGAATGATTGTAATCAGGCTGAGACATCAGAAACTCTCTTGCCTGTTGATTTCCTCCAACCTAAATGCCAACAAACATTGACCTAGAGATCAACTTTAAGAGTTACCAAGGGATCATCTATCACCAATGACTCAGATGCACATGAATAACTAGGAAAAAAAAAAAACCATGCAGTGATTAACAGTGCAATGCCTCCTTACTTTCATTTTCTTCAGTTCTGCTTCTTTCCACTTGTCCATGGTGATGGAACGTACAAATGACAAATGGACTCCAAGGCTACGGTGTTTCCCACAGCAGTCCAAGCAGATCAATATGCCATAAGTGATGGAAGCCCATTGAGGATTACATGCCCCACATTCAAAGCAGATCTGAGAAGAAATGAGTTCAATTAACAATCACTACTGCAGATGAGAACTCTTCCTGAGTGATTAGCTTCAGAAGTGTAAATAATAGCCAACATTCTATTACTGAAGGGATCAGTATTCTAAAAGTGGACTGTGCTAGGTTCTGTGACAGGCCTATTTACTCAATGAAATAAGAAATTGTAATTTCCCACTTTTAAAGTGAGTTAACATTTTCCCCTACTTTTTTGAGGCATCCAAAAAAATAAAAGCTCCTCCTAAGCATACTTCCTACAATAAAAAAATAGCCAATTTTTCTGAGCTTTTTCTGAGCCAAGGTGCTGGGATTGGCATGAGTGTGACTAATATGACAATATGCTCTCTCTTGCCAAAGTCAAGGCCCACATATGTACATACAATTTCTGATAACCTTCCTGGGCTGCAGCAGCATAACATTGGTGTGGCCAGGAGGCATGTGCACCCTGTTCCCCACTCCCTTCTTAAGAAAAGATGCACAAAAAAAAGAAAAATGTCCACGAATTGCATAACAGTGTCCGAGTTCCCATGTCCCCCCACACTTTTCCATCCACGCTACACTCATGCTGGGCTGGGTATACCATCCTTATTAGTTAGAGCTAACATTCCAATATTCTGGCAGTTTTGGACTCAGGCATAGAAGTCTAAAAGCTAGGCCTAATATTGGTAACAGGAGCACTAACATTGTTGCCTTTGTGCATTCTCAGTTCATTGAGAGTAGCTTGGGTTTGAGGGCTCGCCATTTCCACTGAGTTTGGAGTTCAAGAGACCTGAAAACCAATGCCACGTGGAGTAAGTCTTAGCATTCACCGCATACTGTTGCACAATGTGAGAAGAGCCTTTGAAGATAAACCAACACACGTGATCTGTCATACAAATTGGAAGATGTGGTAGCAAAGCCAGAAGTGGCTCCAGGTAGGAGCCTTTTTCTTGCAGAATTCCGAGGCCTAACTTCACCTGTAAGGATCAACAGAATAAGAAGAAAGCTAGACGGAGCTTGGAATATCCTACATTTAGCTAACAATCATTGAGTCAGTGTAATGGTGATATCATGACGCGCTAGTTTTTCCAACTTAAAACTTGTATTAGATGTTAAAAGAAAACTGCAATAGCACTAGTACACGCAACCAAGAAACATATGGGTTTGAAGCACGAGTGAGGCGGACGACGGGCGTTGCGTCACGCGGAACAGCCACGTCGGTGGAGAAAGCAGCATGTCTGCCTCTGCGTAACGGGAAAGTGAAAGAAAAATCCCTGAGCAGCAACATTTCCGTGGGCTGTTTCGTATCAGTCTTTCAGCCAATACAGCGCTGCATTACGGGGAAACAAACTAGAAGGCAGATCATTTTGTTACACATCTCTTTACCCTGAAACGCTTTCTCGCCATCTCAAGTATATCGCCATCCTCAATAGGACCGGGGATTCAGCTAACCAACTGTTGCCCCTAATCAGTTCTTCCAAGGGGATCGTCCGATCCCCTAGGTCCTGTCTGGTTAATTATGGCAAGTCCACGAACAAGAAGGGTATTGAATGATCTTCGGGTCAGAGATGGGAACAATGTGAGTTCATGGCCTTGATTTTTTGGTTTTGAATGTGGATATAGCCTATGCTTACTTGGTGTATTTAACCTAGCCTAGGCCTCCCATCACTGGGGCAATGCCCATTGAGTAAAACAAGCCATCATAGCGTACAATACTTAACACAAGACCACTTTAGATGATCCCAGTTGGGGATTCATCTTCTCCCTGGGTGCATGAGCTTATTACATTGACCCCATGCATGAGGCCTGGATTACAGATTAGTAATAGTCATCTGTAAATCATATCCCTCTCATACTTCTGTACATATGCTTTGAAGTGGAGCAACCCTTACACTTGGAAAGAGGTGACCTTAATTGAGAAAAATACTATATATTTTACATTGCTCTGTATAGACCTGATGTCATATAAAGCAATGGAACTTAAGTTGGGACTGCACTTGTGCATGTTTATTGACTTCATATTTCAGCTCTTAGAATATTGTATTTTATTATTTGAGGGAATCATGGAGGAATTCAATTGGCTAGAAAAAATTGCTTGAATCATTAAATTTTCCCTTCTCTCATTCCCCTAGGGAACTTGTGACTTTGAACATATCACCTGGTCAAAGAATCACTTGAAATTCTTACATTTAGATTTATTCAGGGATATATGTGGAATCATTCCCTAATACACATCTGGTAAATTTTCCCCAGGAATTGTTGCATTCCTTTTCAATCTACCCTCAATTCCACTATCACCAAAACAATTGGACCTTTAAGTAGCTTGGAGGGAAAGAAGTGGGAAGGAAATTATAGCACTTATCTAACCCTTTCTTGTAATCATTATGTAAACATAACAAAAGGCAGACATTAGGAATTTAATCCAAATCTGAGTGCATACTGACTTGGAGTCGAATTAAAAAATGATTGAGGGAGCTGCCATCATATAGTCTCTGTGTAGGTGGTGCCTCATTTTTCAGGCTCCTCAGCTTTGTAAAAATGTATTTTCTTCATGGATTTCAAGTGGAGGAGATTTTGAGTCAATTCTAACTCGACCCTTAATCTTAAATCAACTCATAAGCATCAACAGATGATTTAATATATCAATATTTAGTAAACAAGCCTCATCTCAAATTCTTCCAACCTCTTCTTAGATGCACTTGGATCAATTATCTGGTAAGTTGGCATGGAATGACCTTGTGATTAATGCCAAATGCTTTTTGAGGTTGTAGAAAATATCAATAGGTACCTCTCCATGGTTGAGTGAGTATATAACGCATTCTAGAAACTCCAGTATTGCTTGTGCTGAGTAACCTTGTCTCAAGTGAAATTCAGAACATGTAGGAAGCTATGCTACCTAAGCTTAGGTTGTTCTGAATGCAACCGGTCCCAGGCCTCATGTTGCTATGACAGCAATTATCTTGTTTAATTTATGAATGATTTTTGAAGGCATGATGGGAAGAATGATAAAAGTCTCTCATTTCCTAAGATTACTTGATTCATTTAATTATTTTGGAACAAAAGTAATTTAAATAAATTTTTGGAAAAAGGAGACCTCAAAATATCAAGTGGATGTAATTATTGACATTTATGAGAATTTAATATTTCAGAGGCCTTTTAAGAAATTCTCTTCAATCCCAATAAGCAATCATGTTTTTTTTTTGTTTATTTCCACCAAACTAGGCCTGCTTTGAATGTGGTGTGTTGAATCCGCAATGGGTTTCCGCCACGTATGGCATTTGGATCTGTCTTGAATGCTCAGGGAAGCATAGAGGCTTGGGTGTACATCTTTCCTTTGTGAGATCTGTGACAATGGACAAGTGGAAAGACATTGAATTGGAAAAAATGAAAGTAAGTACCATGTCATTTAACTCTCAGATTCATTGGGATAAACCTTGTACCTGCTTTAGGAGGCTGAGCATGCTATATTTTCTTATGTTTTGCAGGTTGGTGGAAATCGCCAGGCAAGGGAGTTCTTTAAATCTCAAGAAGATTTTGATGAGTCACAGCCTATTGCTGAGAAATATAATACAAGAGCTGCTGCTCTCTATCGAGACAAGGTTTGTGTGGGTTTCTTCATTCAAGTCTAAACTTTTGGATCTTGTGTGTTATCCACCCCATTCTACGCACTTCCAGCCTAGTATTCCTCATTCTGGTGAGACCCATCAGTGCACCAGCAAGATTCGTGGACCTCAATGATTCCTTTCTCAGTTCAATGTCAAAGGCCAAAGAGAGAAAAAGTCAACCTATTTTGGAGGATGATGGGGTCAGTTGGGTTAGAAAAGGGTCACGGCTTTTGGCCGCAATTATTTTCTAACCCAACTGACCCATCATTCTCCAAAATTTGTTGACTTTCTCTCTCTTTTGGCCCAACATAGAAGGAATGCAGCTCCTGGGGTATGCATTTATTGCTAGTTCTCTGTGGTTAGCGTGTGTTTGGGTCTTGTGAAAACCCACAAAAGTTTTTGGAACATTAGTCTGAGTCTGAGGAAGACTAGGCCAGAAGTGTGTATAATGGGGTGGATAACACACTTTTTCCAAACTTTTTTCGCCACATCACCACTTGCATTGGTGTTGGAGCTCATTAAAAATAGTATCAGATGCAAATAAAAAACAAGATTCTGAAATTCTAGATCAAATCATTCCAACCAACTTTACCCAACAACGAAGTGGTGGCATTACTATCTCATATTCTTTTGTTGAATTTTTTTTTCCCAGGGCATGGCAAAATCTTATTACCCAAATTGCAGACTATGTTTGAAATAATTTTTAAAATATGAATTTTACTATTTGGGGCAGTCTGATATAACAAGAGTCAATTAGCCACACTGCTTAACTTAGCCACTTGATTTTATGGGACTAGTTATATTAGAAAAAGATGTTAGAGTTTCTGCATAATTTCATATAAAGAAATCCACAATTATTGATACTTTTAGGTACTGGCTATCACCTGAATGTTGACATTTTTTCCAAAATGTTGTAATTTTTATTACCTGTATCTCATGTCTCCATTCATTGTTGAACTATTTATTTCATTTATGTCTCCATTCAAAAAGGACTATGACTTTTATGCCCTAGCATTTGGACATGATATTCTGCATTTGTGCAGCCAATGGTCAATCTTCTTAGCACACCTTAGGTAGAGGTTGCTGAAATATTGAAAATTGCAAAATGTTCAATAAATGCATGCTGTATATTTAACCCTTTCAGACCAGAATTAAGGCCACTTTCAGAATAATATACTTTTTTGCATTTTTTTTTAGCTCTTTTCTTATTCTACTTGAAATTTTTATGTTCTATCTACCATTTCATATTTTGAATAAATTTACCATACTAAACCATATATTGTATATTATACATGTAATTACATAACTGAAGATTTAAAAAGTGATGGGTGAGAGAAAACCTCCGACGGAATTGAGTCATACATAATTAAGTCTATTGTAGTGTAATATGAGGTGCAAAGTCAGAAGAATCCTAAAAAATTACCAGAGAAACTATATGCAATGTCCATTGGAATGGACATGGGGTCTGAAAGGGTTAATAGGTATTTACCAAGGAATTGGGCCAGTTTCAAAGGGCCATGTTTTAAGCATTAATACTTTTGTTCTGGAGTGTATGTGACTGAGAGTTTTTTATGTTTATAAAAAAAAAAATCCATAACTTCAGAATGCTAAATGATATGGACTTGTTCTTAATTGAAAATTGACGTAAGTTCATATTTTATATTGTACATATTTTATTGCAGAAAAATTGTTGCAAGGTGTGAAAATGTTCAATGACCTGCTATTACATCCACTGTTGCTTGATTAGGGCTGTATGTACATTTAGGCCCATTGGATTGAAAGTGTTGATAGTTTCACTACCAGGGGCTATGTACCTACACCAGCCAACCAGTTTAAATAAATTCAAGATATACACTTTATGCTGACTTTAAGTGGTATTCCATTCATGGCAACCTATGTGCTCCAAAGAATTTTGTATTTTAACACATTGACCTCATGCTCACTCAACCTCTCCTTGCTATGAACAGCAATGGAGTTTCATTGCTCTGAACATGCCATATGGCATGTTCAGAGTAATTCATTCAATATGCTAAGAATATAAATTTAAAATTTCTATTTATTGAGAAAATCTAGATAAGTATTAATGCAGGACTTTCTGTATTTTTGCAAACCAAAGATACCATCACTTATATCTGTATTTTGTCATTTTCACCATTTCAGGTCTTTAAAAAAGATTGAACATTGGCTGCATATGGGGAGATTATATCTAAATACTACTATATGAGAAACATTGTCCTTGAATGCTGATGGGAGATATGGGCAATTGAAATGCATATGTTATGGGGAAAATGCCAAAATTCAGAGGATGACCATTTCCAGGAAAATATCAATTGATACATATTCATTTATATGAAATTATTTCAGGTACTCTTCTTTCTACAAAACAAGCCCCATAAAGATCAGCCTCTTTAGGAGTTCCTTTTATTCAAACTTCAACTGCTTTTTAATATTTAATTAAGCTCTGTCCCCAAATGATTCAAACTCATTTTGGAAACTTTGATGGATGAATATGAACTTTTGTTTTTTGGGTTTTCTCCTCATTAGCAAAAAGCAAAAAATATCTGAGATCATAGTGCTACAGTTCATTTGGTGAATTGAGCTGAACAGCCTCTGCATCAAGAATAAAGGACAAAATGCAGATGTCCTTTTTTCTTATTTTGAGTTTTTTGCTTTTCTACATTTCAGGTCTCAACTCTTGCTGAAGGGAAGTCATGGAGCATTGATACATCATCTGCCAGGAACTTTGTGCCTCATTCAATACCCAAAACATGGTCCTCATGTAGTATAAAGTCTGATCCTGGTATCAGAGAACCTTCTGAGGACTTTGATTCTTGGAACTTTAAAGATCCTCGAATCAAGACTGCAACAGAAGATTTCTTCTCCAGGAAGCAGTCAGAAAATTCCATCCGTCCTGAGTGAGTCAGTCACCTTCAGCTGTTTGCACATTATTGACATCTAGCCTCTTTTTGGCAAAAGGAGAAAACAATTGAAGATGCAAAAGATATCAAATGAAGGAGATTTGGTGGTCTAACCATGGTTATCAATCTAGTGTTGATAGATGGGAAGACCACTGAGACATGATGCAACAAAATGGTATCAATATATCCATCTATTGAGAACTATATGAGACTAAAACTGAACCATAAGGGCTCAAGGGTGGACTCTTCATAGGTCTAGAAAGGGCTCAAATTGGGCAACTTATAAGGATTGTGATATGTTCATTAGTCATGGCACATTACCAAAATTAAGAAATTTTGATAGATTCTCAGTTAAAAGTGTTGTGATTTTTTGTTTGTTTTATCTTGTACCTCATTGAAAGCTTTTATGGCATTCATTTTCAAATAACTATGTATACTTTAGAAGCTCTAAAAACACCAAAACTACTTTGTTTTTGTTCTTGGAGAGTTGAATGTTCACATCAACTGAGTCACAAGTACCATTTTCTGGAGGAGCCCCTAGATTGATTATTATGTTTTTAAGAAAAAAAAAAAAATATATATATATATATATATTTTTAATTATTATTTATTATTATCTAACCTTTCACTAATGCCCACAGCTCTCAACATCTCTCACATATATTGTTTCAGCTATATGGACACTAAGGCCAGAAGTGCTGTTTGGTCAACTTCTCCTATTGCACCAATTTCTTTTTTAGCATTGAGAGCACTGTTGATTGCCTGAAATTTTGCTATAAAATCTTAAATTCTGTTGATCTACAGTCTTGGCCTATTTGGGTGTCTTTCACTCATACCTCTCAATCATACCAGTTTGCTGAAAACTGGGATCTGTTTTTGTGTAAATCATCACAAACTCCGCTCTTTTTTTTTAAATGCACTATTGTTAGGTTAGTTCACAACACTCAGTCAAAAAATCGCTTCCAAAAGTCCATCAAATAATGGCAAAAATTGTGCACACTCAAGCGTGGAGTATGTGAACAGCAATGGATATGACACATTATCACCAAAATTGCCATACTTGTTCCAGGTGAGTAACGATTGTTCATTTCAAGCCAATTTCAGTGGAGCAGCAGGAGCACTCAATCAGGGCACAAAATGGCCCCAATCCCCAGATGCTAAATTTCTAACAACAGTTATTATAATGTCACCACCTTATTTTGATTGGCTATAGCTTTTCAAGGGATAGTTGGATGCAGCTGATACTTGACAGAGAGGTTCATTAGTCTAAGGTTTTTTCTAGATTGTCAATTGGATTAGATGAATTGACTGATAAATTGATTAAAGCACTAATCGTGATTTAAGAAATTTGTCGAAATTAAACAAATTTTAGTCTACCCCCAAATCTCCCACTGAATGCCTCTTTTCGCCCTGATAAATTTACCATGTAATTTATAATTTTGCAAAACAACCAAAAACTAATGCTTTATCAAGGGAATGAAATGTAATGATGACTTATAGAAGGTAGTCGTTTTCACACTGCTCAATTTTCCTCAAAAACACCATACTATTTTTGAGAAAAGGAAACACAAACACAAAGCCATCGCTTTCAAACTACTAAAAAAAAAAAGTGTTCTGACCCCTTCACATCCACAACTGGTATGTAATAAGAGAAAATACAGAAGGAAGAGAGGAGTTGGGCAGGGGCACGGGAATGGAGAGGCAGGAAGGAGGATAATGTAAAGACTGAGGAGTGAGAGGTGTACATGTAAGTACACTGGTGAATGCCTGTGGGAGCCCCCTGAAAGTAAAGAGGGGGAAAGCTGGGTCACCCTCTCCTATTCCTTGTTCACTCCTATTTTTTCTCTTCCATCCTGTGTTGCCAATAAATGTTTAACAAATCTTTAAATCTCTGCATAATGAAGTGTCACAGTATACGTCCAATTATTCAGGTTACATTTTTGCATCCTTCCAATATGGGTTGGCTAAATGGCAAAGGGCCTCAGTGCTCTTCTTTTGCTTATGTTTGCTCACACCAGAGTTATTTTTGCAAAACATTCACTTTACATTCATGAGTATGTTTAGAACTGATTCTCAGAACTGATGAGTCATTTAGAGTCAGTTTAGAACTGATGAGTCATTCTATGACAATTTTAACATTTAAAATTGACAGCTCCTTCATAAAACCATTCTAAATGTACTTTGTGAAAACTCATTGAATGATTCATCTGCTTCTCATTGGGAATAAGTTCATGAAATCCATCTACAAGAGAAGAATGAATTTGAATGGAAGAGCAGTTCAATGTGGTCTTGATAACCAGGAAGGACAGTGCTTGAGTTGTTTCCTCCTCTCCACGGCAGGAGCTCTTGTTAATTCTCAAAGTTTAACCTCTTTTCAATAATATCTGAATGTATTTCTTTGTCCCAACAAATTTGGATAGAATTTTGAGAATCAGTTGGAAACATACTCATGTATGCAAAGTGAACACTTTGTGAAAATAGCTCCAGTTTTGGGCAGAGATATTTAGGTTAAAAGTCATTGGACTTTTTTTTTCCATACCCTGTAGAGATAAGTCTGTCCATGAGTGTGTTAAATTCTCATAACTGCATGCTGAATGTGATTAATCAGATTGGGTATTTGAGGAATTCCATGGCATTGGAAGAGATTCAAATGATTCAATTTATTGGCTAAATCCTGTATACATTAGTTCTCAAATGAAGAGTTCTATTTCAGAAAAACCAATTTTGATTTTTTGGATGACATACATTCACATAGTCAATTTTGAGACTGATTCCCATGGCACTCGAGACTTCAGTCATATTTGAGTCAGATCCAGGTCTCAGCTTCCTCAGAGCTTTGCATTATCCCTGTTGAAATTTCAATGGTCAAATTAAAAAAATTTTTCAATTATCAAAACTGTTTCTTTCTATCTGCAGCCATTGCTCATTATGCCCCTTTAAATTAAGAAGTAATTTTGCAAATCTTGAGTCTGTCATTTTTTTATGAGTTGGCCTTAGGCCTGACCCAGATGACCTATCATATTAATTTTGAACCCAAATTTCTGTGTGATACATCATTCGAAAGCCCTTAATTTCCTCTGTTAGAATTTGTTTTTACATTGTAAAAAGAGTGACATTTGATCCTGCTGCAGTCAATCTGAGTTGAGAATGCACTGGTGCCATTTCTGTACAGTCTAGCAACCAGTTTTCAACACTTGACTTCACATAGAAGCTCACATTTCTTCTCAGTTGTACTGAGAAGTGGTTATCATTCTCATCATCCATGGTTCTGTCATCATATCGGTTATCGGTGTTAGCACACATTTGCTTTCAGATTTTTGCTGACTTTTTCCCCATGAGGTAGGGAACAATGTGACATGTGAGATCAGACCAGGCTTAATGTGATGCTTGGCCAGGACATATTTCAAGGATCCATTGTAGGCTTTGATGCTATACTGTAGATATTCTATGCTTTCCAATTATAGAATATTGCCCTATTGCATGTTTTTACAACTGAAATTGTGAGTTTATTTTTTTATCTTTATTTTTTTTCCTGGAAGATTGGTTTAATCTTAAAATTGCACTCTAACAATGAATGTATTCATCATGAAATTTGATATCTACCACCAAGTTCCCTTAATTCCCATGCTTTTCTCTTATTTAAAATTTTCATTCCTCAGCGACTTGCCCCCCAGTCAAGGAGGAAAGTACTCAGGCTTTGGCTATTCACGACCACAACCTCCAAAGAGTTCATCACAAGAATTTATTGACTCTGCTTTTTCATCCCTTGCATCTGTGCGTTCATTTCTTCCTTAGTATGGATCTTTGCAAGGACTTAGTTATAAGCAGTCACATTCCTTCTATTTTCAGGGCTGGTCAGCTATTACTCTAAATGCCAGCAAGTTTACTTCAAAGGCTTCAGAGAGTGCTGCTCAATGGGGATCACTGGCCACACAGAAGATGTCATCCCTTTCTGAAACAGTCAGTCAAAAAGTAAGGATAGGGACCTTGGCAATCTCCATATTAGTGATGAAAATTATTCATTTCTGAAAACTGAATACTTTGTGCCAGTATCTTGTTTAATTTGAATCCAGTTTTTTTCCCCAATACCTTTGTAGCATTTGGCTATCTTTCCCAGGTGAAGGATGGGACACTTCTAGAAGATGTATCTAGTCAAGTCACCAGTCTTGCTTCTAAAGTGAGTTTTTCATCTGTTGGAGAAGAGATTCCCATTTCTGTCCAACCAACTGTATCCTGAAGCTGGATTGGGATTTTTTCTGTCTAGGTTGGTGATATGAGCAAGAAAGGGCTCAAGGATGTATCTTCTATATTTGGAGAGACTGGAGAACTAGCAAGTCCAGCAGAGAAAGCTGGTTTGCTGCAGGAAGATGACCAGGATTCTAAGGCCAAGAAGTGAGTGCTGAAAATATTGTTGTCCCAGTCTAAAAAAAAATTGGAATCTGAATATCTGGTCCACCTTCTTGAAGCCAATCCAGAAGGGGTCTCTAGTATTTTTTGTAATATTACTCATATTCTAATTTCTTATTTCAGTCAGGGCAACTCTGACGACGAGGAAAGTGATACACCTTTGCTTAAATCTGATGATGAAAATCCATGGGGGGAATTGCAAGCCAAGAACCAATATGTACCACAGAGGCAAGTCCTTTGTATTATCAGGATTAAGAAAGGTCTTGCATGCTGCATTCTTATACTTAATCACAGTGACTACTTTAAGAATCCTCTAAAATTGTACCCTAAGTTCACCTAATTTTACTGGAACTGGGACTAGATGGCAAAAGTTCTTGGTCTGTTGAGTTGTCTCCTTTATTCTGAGTTAATGTTGTTATTGAATAAATTGTTCTACACTGTCCAATGAAGCATAAAGCAAGATGCATGCAGGTTTTTGTTCCAGATATTTTTTGTTGTTGCTATTTTTGGAAGGAAAGACTTTCAATTAAAATGAAACCCTTGAAGTAATCTGCAAGTGCTCTTTTGTGCAAGAAAGAGCTACAGGAGAATCTGCTGTCCTCTGTGCCTGTTATCTGTTTAAATTCAGCTAGGGCAAAATATTCCTTTTTATCGTTGAGAAATTGCACAAACAGCGTCCATGATTTATTCATCTGTTTCATAGTGCTTTCCATTACGATTTTTCTTGTAAGTTTATAACATCTCATAAGTTATTTTATTTTGTGAAATTAAAGTATGAAATAAGTTTCCAATGTCAGAGAAAACTAGCACTACTCTATATTCACTTTTCATCATTTTAGGATTTAACTTCATCGCTCTCCTAGTACCATTGATCTAGAAATTAAGAAATGCAGTTAAGAGGAATGGTTGACACCTGAATTACCAAATTGGATGGAAGAATATGGATACCAACTTTCTACCTCCCTTTGAATCCTCATTGGTAGTTCTGCAGACTACTTTTCAAGCAGTCCAATTCTCCCATCACATGTTCTAGTCTTCTTTGTGCTGAGTCCAGAGAATTACTAATGCATTGGAAAATATCCAACAAAATTAAACAGTAAATGAATGAAAACAGACAGGATGAGGGATCTGGCAGAATCCAAAATATCCAATTCAAGAATACTCATAGTTTATTACTTGCATGCCTTGCAGGGTATACCTTAGCTCTAAAGTGATTGATTTCTTTGGTTCAATAATTGGGATTTTTGAAAAAGTCACTGTTGCATGTGCATGCATCCAAGCATGAAATTTCACAGCACTCATGTGCACCATCATGAATGACTGCTTTATTTGTGCAAGGGTAAATTCTGGCATGCTACTCTCACAAATTGACAGAATGCATGCATAAGGGATGTTGCAGCAATCAGAATATCTGATGGCTGCAACATTTCTTGCAAACTGTGTCCACAGCAATAGAATGCATTATTTGTTGCTTCACTATGATGATTGCACTCACATTCCAGATTGCAGAATACCATTGGCAGCTGGCCAGAATGTTTAATCGTGAACAGCACAAGTTACTGTTTAAATGTTGTAGCGAATTATTAAATTTACCTCTGCACTGGTTTCTACTATCTGCTGCCTGAGATTTTTAACTGGAAAAATATTTTCCACAATGTATTATCATGAACCACAGAAAAAGTTTTTCATTGCTATCAGTTTCCTTTAAATTGTTATTCTTTTAGGTGCTGCATTTTGTTTGGCAGAAATCATATATTAGCACCATACCCCACATTAGTATGAAGAGAGTATTGCGAAAGCTTTGTGAGCTGATGCACATGGTATGTCAAAAAAAAAATCCCTCTGACTTTAAACATTGCACTTCTTTACTTATGGGAACCATTCTCCCAAAAGTTACACTGTGCATTTTGTGATTGATACATTTCAAATGCCCCTTTGAATTTTTGAGCTACAGCAATTGTAAGAATGAATGTTGCAAATAAATCAGAATTTGAAAAATTAATGCGACTCCAGCCCCTGCAGAGTGGCTGGACTCTGCATTTGCATCCACAGTATAAAGACTTTTCCTCCCTTTAATTCCCACCATTGCCTGTCTGTTTTCAATATATAACTTATTTTGAATAATTGCTTATAATCTTGCTTTTTCTTGGTAAATTTTCATGAAAGTTCATTATGTTCATGTACACATATCAACAAATGTATGGTACAAGTTTTGCCTTTGCCAAGGGAGCAGAGGTTTTTATTTAAAATTTGTTGGAGGTTTTATGCCATACCTTGTACATCAGGACCATATTCCCAAAAAGCTTTCCAGAAGCTTCTTGAACTTATATGTAAATAGATAATTGTTAGGCAAATTGGTGCATGATAATCAAGGTGAATCAATAAAGCAGCTCTGGGACTACAAGAAAGAGCATGCATGTGGCATGTGTTTTTCATTCTCTCTCAATAATTTAGGCCTGTTTAAGATGTCATATAACCTTCTGATAACTTACTTGAACTTTTTGGTAAAATGCTTATTTGTGAATTCCTTGATCTCAGCTTATGATAATTTGCTTTAACTTTACTTGAACATGATGACTGAATGACTATGAAACTCCACAATAATACAAAAGGTTCTCCTACAGACTCAGTGGATGGAAAGAAGAGGACTGGAGTGATGGTTGGAGTGAATTGGGTGAGGCTAAAGTCAATCGAAAGTATGAGAAGAAACCTAAGCCACTTGAAGGGGATGTTCTACTTGGAGGAGCCCAACATCATGATGGAGGCAAAAAGCAGTCTGAGCCTGATGAATGGGACATTCTAAATTCATGATTTTGAGGCATTGAGAACTTAGATATGTGAAATGTTTCCATGAGTCATCTCAACTGCCCTTATAGAAGCATGGAATATCTGTCAAGAGACTAGTTTCATTTCCTTTGATGGTCTACTTGAAGTGGTCTGATGTGATATAGCTGACAAGCCTATCTCATGCAAGAATGCATACTGATTCTTAATGATAATGAATCTGTGTGGATTTTTTTAGCATGAATTCATCAGTGCATTGCATGCTCCTAAGAATCAAATCAAGAATTACTTTCAGGTGTCTTTTTTGAAGTTGATATAGCTGGAATTACTGTACTGAAAGATTGGGAACACTTTCAAGTGAGCAACATTTATGAGTCATTTTGATGGTTTTGGCTTCATATTTGTGTCTTCTTAGTATTCATTGATAGATGATTTACCCCTGCAGTGAAAGCCACACTGGGCTATTGTGATTTTATTTTCACTTTTTTATTTATTATGTATCATACAGAAGTTTCAACAGTTATTTTCATGGGATGCAGAGCATTTATTTTAGTAGATCTTTCAAACGAAAGGGGCCAAGTATAACTATGTTCTGTGGGTGTGTATGAATGCTACCACTTTTTTATGGTAATATCTTGAACAATATTCCATTGATTGTGGTGAAATTTAACCTGTGTATACATACAGGTATGGGCAAAATACAGGCTGGGATTATTGGCAAAGTTTCATGCAAGAACAAACATTTAGCCAGAGATTTGGAATTTGACAACTGTTACACCACCTGATGAGTGATGTGTCAAAAAGATGTGGCAGTACACCTCAATCCTTTACCCTTGTGTGCTCCATCCCCAGTCACTGTTGTGCCTTGTCAGGACTGTAGTGTTTTTATTTAGTTTGCCTTGGCTAGATGGCCATGCTAACATTCCACCTTCCAAGTTCCTTCTTCAAGTTATGACTTTTCAAAGTAGAATCATACTGCAATACACTGCACATACTGTTAGGCATGCCTTATACATGACAATGCACATAGTTTGGCTCCATTCAGAAGCAAATTATAAGAGATAGAATTGATCAGCAAGAAATTCAAGTGAGCCATTTTTGAGATTCCCTTCCTCTTGTGGGAAGTTTAATGAACATTGAATGGTCTGGAGAAATTCAACCATCAACAGTTTTCACCATATGCTTTGAAAGTGCCGTAAATTGTACAATCATTGAAGAGAATATGGTCTGCAAGACATAACTCTGCCACCATCGTAATCAGTGTTTGTTCCAAACTCCTTGTTAGGCAGTTTTCCTACTATGTGTTCTTGGTGTAAAAACTATAATGGTGTACTGGTACTAGTTTTGAGGTATGGAAATCTGTCTTGTAAATATGTAATCCTTTTTTTTTTCAAATATCTTTGGAAAATCATGTCTTCCTACCTCCAAATTCAAATGGGTTGTATTTTAGCTTACCCTGATGGCACATCCCCCCTTCCAAATCTGAATGAATGCTTTTGCTTTAAAGATGCCCTTTGTCCACCATTATAAATGAAATTGTCACATTTTTCAGGGAAGGTCTGTTCTTTTAAGGTAACAATGAGTTGAGGCTGACTCCTTGCATATAAATGCTATGAGAAATCATGAGAATACCTTTTCTACCGTTTAGTGATACTTTGATATCAGTTCGTGACATTATCATGAGCAATAATGAAGATTTTTCCAGAATTTTCATTATGTGGTGATCCAGAGGCAAGTTTGCCTTCAGCGCCAAGGGTGTTAAGTGCAGCGGCCTAATCGAGAATCAGCTTATCTTGTGAATCAGGTTAGAGTTTAGAAGAGGCTGGGGCAGCAAGAGACAATATCAGGGATGTAATGCAAACCGACCACGAGTGGCATATGCCACTTTTTGATGCCCTATTATTTTTGTTTTTTGCAAACAAAAATTGCCATTTTCTACCGCGAAAGCAGCTGGTTTGTCATTTTCAGAGTTAAAATATAGATGTTTACCTAGTGGTTTATAAGTCCAATAGCTCGAAAAAGAAGCCTTTTCATTAAGCGGCTGTGCACTAACGCAGATTGGAGCGATTTTCCCTTGCTGGATTGTGTCTCACTTTTTTAATGGCATCTCGTTCACTAAACCTAACCTGATCAGGGCTGGCTCGAGACTTTTTTTTTTCCCCGCGTGGCTGAGGTATTTTCTTGCAGACTGCTGTCGTCCAATAAAAGAAGAGCTTGCATGGCACGATATGCAGTAGATAGGGAGCAGTTCTCATGAGTTTACGAATGAAATGAGCTCTGAATTAAGAACGAGCATCGCCGAAACGCGTTAGTGCGCGGACACCATAACATCTCATGCTCGAATGAGTTAAGCCCTGATTTTAAGAATATTAAGGCTTGTGTCTCTGCATTTCCAGGTTACTGCGAAGTTGATAGGAGATATAGTTTGAATGTCGTTTCGCAGCCTCGAGAACTGGAAGCGTCGTCGGGCTATCGCGGTCAGGAGGATAAATATGGATGGACAAGGATTGTCACTATTTCAAGACTAGGAAGGGATGGGGAAGAAAAAACCGGAAAGGTGGTCGGTTGACCGAGATGAGAAAATGGGGGGGGGGGGAAGGAAATATTGCGGGGTCTTTGCCCCCCCCCCCCCCCTCCATTGGATAAGCTTCATCCGCAGAATTCCCAAGTCCTCAACATGATGCCTTGCTCAGGGACGCCATACAAGGTAATTACAGCCTAGATCGCTGAACACACGCATCTTCATGAAATCCCATTACTAATAATCACGTGACTTGAGATCAGGTGCTCTCGGTTAGCTGCAAAATGGCAGAAAGTGCGTGCGATTCGTCAAGAGAGGTTCACATGGCCGTTTTCAACATCACGCATGGATGACATATTTAACGCTCGATATATAGAGGCGCCTTCTATACGACTTCTGTTTTTTTTCCCATCGTCAGTCGTTCTGCGTGAATTTTTTCCCTCTTTTGGTTTGGTTTGTGAACTACACTGCTCTAAATTATCAGTACAAACTTTATGCAACTCTGTACGTAAAAAGGGGAAACAGTCCAGAAACCAATTTATTTCATCATCCTTGTTATTTAAATGGACCTAGCCTAATACTGTCAGCTGCCGACACCCCAACAAGAGAAAAAAAATCGATAATTAAATGTCAAAGGAATCACGTGGTGGTGATTGGCTCTTGAACAGAGTAACGAATGGGAATTTTCTTCCCCCCCCCCTCCCGTGATTGCAGCGCATTAACACTCCTGATGAATCATTAGTTTTGTCTAACAGACGAAATGAGGAAAACCAGAATATCACGATATTCCCTTTGCTCCCTTTCTGGCGAAGAAGTCGACTTCCAACATTGGGTGTGAGGAGAGAGAGGTCAAGATTTACATGGCACCAAAGCTACTGCCTGCCCCCAGCCCCAATAACGATTCCCTTATTCGTGAGGTAATAAGAAAAAGTGGCTGGGAGAATTAAGGGACTGACAATATCCTAAACAACACAAGTTCCAATTGAGTAGGGGAACAGGGTGGGTCCCGTAGGCTCCCAATGATGGGCCACAAGACATAAACATTCTTTCAGCTTCTTGAGCACGAATAGTCCTTTAGCGACATGGTCCAATAGCATGCAAGCATATAGAATATAGGTGGATTTGAAATCTTCCTAGCGGGACGCAGCATTATTGATAAACTCCCGGGTTTCGTGAATGTCAACGCAGCCTGGGGAGATTCTATATCCATGACTCAAAAATGCCCTTCCCACTTCTTGACTCGTCTCACATCAGGCAATTCTCCTTCTGTGTTCGGATGGCTTGATGAAGGGTGAAAAGTGGCGCGCCGGCTACTGCCTGGCTCTACCGAAGAATTGAGACTTGTGGAAGGCTGGGGTAACGTCGACTAAGGGAGTTGTCCCCGAAGGCCTCGCAATTTATATGATTTTGAGGACTCCCACTGGCGTCATTAGAAACTTGCAAGATCCTGCCCACAGGACGGGAACGGGATGTTATTCTGAGTATTTTAATGCATGTTAAACCCCGGCCGTTTTCGTTCGCGGTCTCCTTCCCATTTTCGTTCTCATTCCGCATACTCTTGACGACCGTTATGCCGAAATGCGCCGAACGAAGCAAGTCGTCGAGCTGCCCGGTCTCGTCTCAGAATCCTTGAACGCCACGTGGGCAGAAGGAAGCTACGCCAGTGCTAATGAAGGATCTATCTTGTGCAGGAAGATGTCACGGGGTGACCAGTGCCAGCTCCTAAAAGGCAAAGTTCCAACTTTTCATTGTTCAATAACTTATGTTCAATGATGCTTCATGTTTTATTTCCTTTTATTTTAACAATCCCTCCAATAAACTACAAAATTCCGTTTCCCTCCTGAGAAAATGATGAAAATGTTGACGGCAAAACCGGGCGATTTGAAGTCTCCCTAGTTGGAAGCGATGCGATGGAAGCATTTCAAGATGATTCCACAAAACCCGCGGGTTTATTGAACTTCTGTATCCAACTGGGGAGAGACTGAATCCCCCTTTACTCCACGAAACCCCACGATATGCCAGATTTCATGGAATTCAAACTAATGGTTTTCTTCCTGTGAAAGTTTAATAAAAAATGTTCCATCTCTTACTACCCCCAGTCTCCCTTATTTGAATGAATAAGGAACACTTGTATGAAAGATCTAGGGGACAATGGTTTTTATGGAATTCAAACAGACAACCATAATACAATACAATATTAGACAGACAATAATAGAGTGCCCGAAGAGGAATAGGGTAAGCACCCTGGTTTCTGGCCAGTGAGGCATCCAACATAATTAGTTAATTTTCAGACATTCTATCAACATATTCCCGTACGAGGACCTATTACTATTGTTTCCCGGTGTGTGTCAGAGGCGGATACAGAAATATTTCTTAGGGGGGCGGTTCCCTACCTCCTACCGACCCCCCCCCTCTCCTTTCACCACTCCCAGATCTATCGCCTTTTTCATTTCCTGTCTGGGGTAAAAACTTGAATATCTATTTCACTGGCCCCAATAAAAATTAATGCAGAAGCTGTTTAAAAAAAAAAGGGAAAAATAGAATGATAACCTAGCCATAGGGGGGCAGTCGCCCCCCCGCCCCTGGTGTGTGCACAGGGTGTCCACTTTCTATGGGAGTCGTAACAGCGTGGCCAAAAACTGGGGTACTTACCCTGCTCATTTTCTTATTTGCTCACCTGCCCAATACAATATATTCCAGCAATGAAGGTCTAAGTTTTGAGGAAATTCTTCCCTAAAAAACTGAAACCAACGAGTCTACTCTAGTGGGAAAACCACCAGAGCTGGAAAGAATGAGTATTATTCAAGAGAAGGGAAGAGTGAAGTCGCACGAGGAGCCTTAAGGTAGCCATACAAGGGATGGGCCAATGGAAGAGATCTGATGCAGGAAGGTTCTCACGCACTATATACAGGGAGCTCAAAAGTAACTGCTCTTTTTCTTAAAAATAACTTTTTAGTTATTTTTAAGTTTTTTTTTTCAGTTATGATAATAGAAATATTGTGACGAGTATGACTAATACATGCAGAAATGTGGAATGTAAAACAGAGGATAAGAGGGGTAGGGTTTTGCCTTGAAACCAAATCTGTAACACTGCTTTATTCAATCAAAATTATTATGGTTCAGTCTTGCCATTGACACATCTGTGATCTGGAAGTTTAACCATTTTACTATTTATTCAACTTGAATATCATAGGAGTACGAATTCTAGACAAATTTGTGGATTCTGCACATTGAACTTTGCTTGTCCTACTCTCTTGTGATCAATGGCAAAGGGATTTCTTGGAACTTAGCAGTACTGCCTCTAATTCTGTCCACATTTTTTTACTCTTGCAAATTTTTCTCCAGATTGTCTATATTGCAGACTATCAGTGTTTCTGAACTCGTAAAACATAGCCATGATAGCTTGCCATCTGGGCACCTTAGTCTATAATGTTGCAGGAACATTTGCTGAGTCATTGTGACCCACTTGATTTCAGAGTAGAACTCCACTATATTTTACTATTTTATCATTTTTTCTACAGTCTACATGATCATAATGACTCCCATGATTGCCTTGGTCCATTCTATCACTATCAAACTACAGTCATAATAGCTCCCATGTCCCAATTGAAAATATAATATAAGTGATAACTTTTAAACATTTCAGTGCATTGCCATTGGTCAGCAAACCAATTGATTCATTTCTGCTGCTCTCTTGAATACATAGGAAGCCTCTGACCAGATTGTTTTTGTGCAGACATCAGTACATCTAAAGCATGAAATATCTGTGCCACTTTTGGCAATCAATAACTGCCAGACTTAGTTTCTAGGCACATTCCCCATGAAATGCAATAAAGTGTGCAATCTGGATGTAAATTATTCTGAAAATACTTGCAGAGTGAAGAATGACTTTGTCAGCAGTGTAACAGTAACAATTTCACTGAAAATTTATTTCAAAAAGTCCATATGCATTCAATGACAAGTTGAATGTTAATAAAGATGAATTACATCATCCCAGAGTGATTGATCAATTTTGAATGTCAAGTCAAATCCAAATCACCAATAGAATGTGTTAGTGAAGAACTTGGCAGCAGAAGAGAGGACTGATGTGGCAGTCTTCTTGAGACTGGATTCTCTGTCAACTCCAGGTGTTGCAACTGCTTTATCCCCAACAGGAGGGTTGTCATCTTCTTCAGGGAGATAATCAGGTATTTGCTTGGATTCTGTCTCAGAGCTAATTCTAGCATTTGATTCCTTGCAAAGCCTCTTCTTCACCTGGAAGCATGATAGCATCATGGAACTGAATTAATCACAATAAATGGTGGGTAATAAAAAAATTTGAGCCAGTATTATTTTTGCATGAACCATTCAAGATAAGAGGATGCAATTTTCAATATCATTTAAAAAAATATTTCAGCTCTAACCTGCCAATATTAACTTCAGCAGGGCAAAAAGAGCAGTCAACAGTCTCAGCAAAATTGCTTTCCCCTTATTGCCAATGTCCCCATTCACTGGTGGTGAACACTCCAGCTATGGACTTGCTTTGCTGTGGGAGTTGGTAATTTTGAACAGTGATTTTGCTGAGGCTATTGTCAGTGCTTTTCATCCTGCTGAGGTGAAAATTACTTGGAGCTTGGAGTTAATTTTTCTTCATGTTTGAGAAAACTATCCTATTTTCATTTTGCATATAAAAAACAATACCTAATGGTTTGTTTTTCTATTCACCGTGTGCAAGTGCATCACAAGTATCAAGCATCATGTAGCACTGACAATGGAAAGAGCATCCAGTAAAAAAAAAGTCACTGCATGGTACAGACCTTGTAGAGTCCAAGGTGAACCATAGGTTACAAAACTAATTTGGCAATGTTACAGAAGCCTTACCATATTTCCAACTTTGTTCCGTCCAAGTTGATAGACATCATGGAAACCAGCATGGATCAGGGCATTTGCTACTGTCATAATGTGGATCTCAGGCCTCATCCTCACTGTGCATTTCTTTGGATTGTTCACAGAAAATGCAACAGAAATCACACCTCTTTGCCGTACCAGTGTGTCAGTCAATTTCCTGTGGTCATACTGTGAAGGGATAAAGCATGTCATTTTGGATGATTTTCATGTATGAGCAATAGTTTGGACTGTAATCACTGGATTACAGTGATACCCACCAATGAAGCCATATCTTCTATCAGAAGGGTGACACACTGTGCTTCCTGTTTTGCTAAAGGCAAGTTAGTGAGAGTTTTGAAAGGCCTTGAACTTGCAGAAGTAGCTATGTGCTCATCATCATCATTCCTGGCTTTGAAACAATCAGTCTTGTGTGCTGCTGCCAGGTTCAGCAACTTTCTTATCATTGCAGACAGATCATCTTCTTTACCCTGATGCCTGAAAAGGAAACCAAATGCAATCAAGTGGTTGTAAATTTATTTACCTTGCTGGTCAGGTAAATTAGAGTGGTACCTTTACACTGTACAAATAATGCTTTTCACTAATACTGCAATCAACCATGATCACGGTAAGCCAGTATGTGGAAGTAAGAGTGAATGTACATGAAACCAACAGTTTTCAGCTTTTGATACTAAACTAGCTATAATGTGAAAAATATGCTTACCTAGTACATGACTCAATAACATTTCTACAGAAATGGAAGGAAAAGGAAGGAAAATAAAACAAAACTTGTCTCAAGGATTAAGACAATATGAAACATTGAGATATCAAAGGGTTCAGTACCCCCCCTGTATACAGTGGACTCTCATTAACATATACTGACATATCCCAACCCAATATGTCCACATCATCTGAAGTTCATGTTATCCACAGTACTGCAAATCTGCAGTTCTCATCCTATTTCATTTTCCTGGTGTCTCACCAGCACTAAACACCTCCAAAATCTTCTCATGGTTTTGTCACATAGTGCAAATTGTTGACTTCACCAGTTCAAGTGCCTTGCTCACCTCACTTTGCTAGGCACCCTTCTGCAGTTGGTTGATAATGTCAATTTTGTCTTTCATAGATAAAGCCTTCTGCTTCCAATTTGCTGCCATAGCATTTGGGGTCAAATCAGCAAAAGAGGACAACAGGAAAGAGTAGCCTATAGCAAAATGCAGGTGACTTAATTCTTTAATTCTCAAGGGGAGCATTGTTCCTTGGGCTGCCCTGCTCAGCTACACTATCAAGATGTTTAATCATTGGCTTAACAGCAGTTATACAGCTTAAATGGTGAAACATAAGCAGGAACAAATGTGTTAAATGGAGATTTGCACAGCTGCTTGCCAGGAAAATAGGCAATGTTAACTGGATTTACCAGTAGGTATTTCTTACTGGTAGGGTACTGCAATTTGTCAGTGTTATCCAGCCATCCATGTTTAAGTAGCACACCCCCATTTAAAAGTCAATTTTCATGAAAAATAGTTTTCTAAAAATCTGGTTCAGGGTATAGTATTTTCATTGCTCTATCAATGTGTGATCGAAAAATCAGGGGAAAATTCTCTATTTTTATTAAAATGGTTACTTAGTGATTATCATCAAGAAAAACATCTCCCTAGCCTCAACTTTGGCCCTTGGATACATTCATCTGTATAGAATATTTTCACAAAAAGTACATAAAAAATGTTGTAGAACTGATAGACCCTATTTACAACTCACTTGCATCACTAGTGCAACTTGTGAAATGCCTGTATGGCAAAACACTAAACACAAATGAATGTATGAATACGTTTATTTAAGAGAGGTGTAATAAAGAAGTATTTGTGGACCACAAAAAGATCTACTTGGCTGTCAGTCACTTCAATGATGGCAACATTGCTGTTTTGAGACTATTTGAGCAACTGGGAGATTTACAGGGGAGAGTGCTAAAGACTGTGATCTTAGTTGTTTATACCACTCAGCCAAAAAGTCAGCGGAGCTGGTAAAAAAAAATTGTGAAAAGTGTTGCAAGTGAAAAAGTTGTACCATCTTTGTTAGTACTCACACACATACAGAGTATGTAAAAGCATAAGTTATAGCTCTACAACTAAGAAAATAAGTACCCATACAAGCTAAAAGATCTTGGTCACCTTGGAGTGTTTTCATGAGAGACTTTTTTAATGTCAGGTCATGCTCTTAGAATGCTATTAACTTCCACAGTGTCCACAACTTTTCCAACAAGATATTTTGTCTTGTTTGATTCTATACAGACATCTAAGAACAAGGAAGACATGTAGATCCACAGTACCTTTGGAGTGTGGCATGAAGGATGCTGCCAAAGCCAAGAACTTTGACCAGCTTGGTAATTCCTCCTGGGACATCAGCCAGCTGACTCAAGGCCCGAAGTGACAAACGAAGGATTTCATCATCTCGACTATCAGCGCTATACACCAAGAATCCCACTGCTGCCTGCGATAATTTTTGACAGTTTCAAAATTGTCTCATTTTCCCCCACTTTTTAAATTTAGAATAGATGAGTCTGACACTCACAGAATCATTCAGAAAATAAGGTCTTTTCTCTGGGTCTTCAACAAGGGAACAATATTGCTTCAAGTAATCTCTGTATTCAGTTGTGTCCATGCTTTATATTTTTGGCTTCCTGTGTGAATAGAGAAAATGTAAATACCACACATCCTTCGAGTCCACCTAATATTACTCCAATCTAAAATAGCACTGAGTGCTCCTCTGAGCTTAAGTAGATCTAGTCCTTTCTTTCCCCATTGCTTTGAAAAACATGTGCTATGATCACAGGGCAGTCCAATTCTTAAGCAAGCCCTCTTTATTTTCTTTGATTCAGCATACAATAAATAATGACTCCTGCAGAAGACTTGATATGAGAGAAAGAGAGAGAGAGTGTGTATATGTATGGCAAGGAGTCCCATGTGTGCATAGCTCCAGTCTTGAGTTTGTCATCTTTCCATGCCAACATAACTTGAATACACACCACTACAATGCTGTGGAAAAATGGATCTTGAATAATATCTTTACATTAATCATATACTGTACAGGGTGGGACAAAAGTCAGGGAACATAGGAGTTTTGGGGGAATTTAATTTTCCTTTCTGTCTCACCTTTCACTCATGTTCATGGCTCTCAACATCTCTCATATTGATCACTGCAGCTGTATGGACACCAGTAGCATGCCCAGAAAATCGTAATGGGGGAGGGGGTTAACATACAGTATGAAAAATTGGTAACCCAATCTGCATTTACGGCCAAATAAAAAAAAATGTTTGAAAGTCGAACCTGTAAAATGTATCCCAAGGGGGGGGGGGGGGGGGTTTATAACCCCTATAACCCCTCCCCTAGGCATGCCACTGATGGACACTAGGGGCAGAAGTGTTGTTTGGTTGGCTTCTCCTATTGCACCTTTTTTTTTGCATCAAGAACACTGCTGGTTGCCTGGCATTTTGCTATCAGATCAGAAATGCCATGGATCAATAATCTTGGCCTATTTGGTTGCCTTTCATGGTAATCATAATAGTTTGCTGAAAACCATTACCTGGTTTTGCAAAAATCACTAACTCCACTCCTTTTTTGGTTTAATACACCATTGCGAGGTTATTTCACAGCACTTAGTCAAAAATCATTCCAAATTTCATCCATGAAGTTATGGGAAAACTGTGTACACTCAAGCATGGAGGTCACCAACATGAACAGCAATGGAAATGGCATATTATCACCAAAATTGCCATACTTGTTCCAGGTAGGCAACAGATATTCATTTCCAGTCACTTTCAGTGGGTGCAGTGAGAGCACTCATCAATGGACTTCAATTATTGTATGCCAAATTGATGAAAAAGAGATACAGAAATGTGTCGCCATCAAGCAGTCACTTTGAAAATTAAATTCCCCAAAAATTCCTTTGTTCCCTGACTTTTGCCCCAGCCTGTACATCAATTATCAATGTAATCATTAATTTCATTCTTACATTCATCGAGGAAAAAAGAAGTGGGAAAGCGAGAGACTCTAAATATCAAGAACTTTACAGAAGCTTATATGAGGAAAGAAAGCAAAATTCTCCCAGTGACAGTTGGCAGAAGCTACACTTACCCACCAAGTAACAGAAGCCTTCATAAAAACATTCAGTACACCACTTTCATATATTCCTAGTTCAATGCATACAATTTTTTCTCCACAAATTTGACATCAATCATTTTCCAATACAAGGTCTCATCATTTTTTCCTGGGATGTGCTCAGCAGCACTGGAACCTGAGGTTCCACAAGGAAATTTTGTTCAGATTTGAAAGTCATGTATTCATGTGAGATAGTCAAATGAGAAAGTGCTCCACCCTTCATGAATTTAGAATTGGCAATGTTCATAAATATATTGTGCCCTATCCCACTTAAATGAAATAAAAGGCCAGAATTCATGTACAATAAATTTCCATTCATAAGAATACACCAGTAACACACAGTCTTACAAATAGGCACATAGGAATTAGACTCGTAGTAACTTTGGCACAGGCTTCAAAAGGTGCTGCCCAAACTAGAAAAATGAAAGGTCATTATATTAGACATTTCTCATATGCAAGGCAAAGAGGCACACATGATGCTTCAGTCTTACAGGTGCAGCAGTTGGGGTTGAATTTGGACTATCCTCATTCCAGGAGTCTTGTTCACTATCTTCATTTTCTTTGTCTTCTGACTCTGTTCCATAATGAGATGCTGCTCTCTTCTTTAGAGCTGCAAACAGTAGCGTTGCAGGATCACTGTGTCTCCCCATTGAACTTCGTCTCTTCGGTCTCAGTGGTCGCCCCCCAGGAGATCTAGTGAAGCAACTTTGCTATCAATAGTAACAAAAAAGAACAAAAGTAATTGAGCTTTTACACCTCACCTTTCTATTGGCTTCAACTTGACATCCTTGATTCCTTCAAGAACTTCAGCCATTAAGAATTTTGGCTCAGGTTCTTCATTCTTCTGTGTCATTCCCAGTTTCTTCACAGAGGATTTTGTTGTCAGTGCTGACAAAGGTGTACGCTGAGGTGGCAGAGGTGGTGGTGGAGGTGGTGGAGGAGGAGGAGGAGGAGGAGGGGGAGGGGGAGGTGGCGGAGGTTGTTGTGGTGTCAACAACTCTGAATGTGATGACTTGCAAGAATCACACTGAATGAGCGACCTGCAATGTTGTCCCTTAAAATATCCTGAATCACCAACTGGATCTAGGACAGTGAAGATGATAGATATATTAGACATTATACTGTTAAAAAAGTGGCTGAAAGTTGAATAGGCCTAACTGTTTCCAATCAACAAACACAGAGTTCAATTCAAAATATTCAATTCAAAGAATTTAGATCCTGGTACTTATAGATTCAAGACCAGAATCAAGACTACAGCATATCTGGGGGGAATTGAATGATGTTGGAGGCACTGTCTATGAAATTTAAAAGTAATATGTTCTCAGGATGCATTGTCTGCTAATCGCCAACTAGCCTTTACCCATTTAGTTATTCATTTTATCATGAAGCTTTCTGTAATTAAAATGACTGAAAATCATTCAACATGGATGATGCAATTTCTCCATGTAAATTTCTATTATGTTATAATGATAAAGGGCTGCAATCAGAGGATAAACAAGGAGCTTCAAGGACCCATTGAGAATTGGAAAAAGAGAAACTGAACAGGCCCTAGAACCAATGTTTTTTTTAATCCTTACTCTGTCATGGGATGCAATTGTTAATTTGACTTCTTTTATCTTTCATGGATTTATTTCCTTGCTCTGCATATTTACTGGATTGCAACTAGGAGTGCCACAGTCTTTCACTTCCTACCAGGATGGAAAGTGTAGCTCTAAATGTATCTGGATTGTTGACACGAAGTCCTGATATTCTTTGGGGCTATTCCACAGATTTTGATTCTTTCCCCTCTAAAAAAAAAAAACTTATATTTCACATATCATTCTATTCTCCCACAAGATATAGTTACATTTAGAAACACAACACATGAGATATGCTCTGAAATGTGGGATTTCAATCAAATTTTACTAAGGATGATCATGCTCATGATTTTGCCTTGTTCTGGGGTTCTATCCACCTATGATCCTATACAATACTTCTAAAACTAACAGGATAGAATCAAGTTGAGATAACTTACTATCACTTTCTCGCAGAAGGATCATTTGTGTCATCTGGTCCTTTAGTTTGTCCAGTTGTTCCTGCAATTCAGATATGACAGCAACTGCCAAAGGATCACCATAAACTTCAGATGGCTTTGCTACAGGTGTGCTGCTTGTGACACATCGATCCCAAGTATCTTCTACATCTCCAAGGCTGTCATGTGAGTGACATCTAGAAGAAATTTTAAAATGCAAGCACTTCTGTAGCAAAGAAACACTTCAGATACTTCATTCTTCCTGATTCCACCATATTAAGTCAAAATGATAATTCAATTGGGGTCCACATGTACTGATAGCATAGTTTATCAAAAGATAAAAGGCATTGATTTCATTTACACAGAGAATGAACCTTTTTTTTTCTTTCAGCAAAATAAAATAAATTTTTTTTTTTTGCAGTTGCCCAGAAAAAAACTGGCTGTCACTCTAGTCATTTTGAAAACATCAATTCATCAATCAGAATAATCAATGGTGCATTAATGGATCATAGATGCCTTCAACTGTTGATGGTGACACCAACTCATGACAATAGCCCTGGTCAAAACAAAGGTCACCGGGTCATTTCAATGTGACAGCCTTCCTGCTTGATACAAACTCCTTCCCTCCAACACATATTTGGGAGGGGCAAAATCTCTCTACTGATCAGAAAATGATCCTGTTCCAAAAGCTCACCATATAAGATGAGATGGTCACAGTCTGACTTGGAAGTCAGTTATAGATAAGGAAGAGATTGCTCTCAAAGTTGTGTCAGGACAAGGGTTAAACTCAGAACTCAAATCATGTGTTTCAATGTTTTGTACTTGTTTTCGTCGTTCTTTCTCTAGATCTTGGTGATGCACAAGATAAGGAAAGCTCGCTTCTCCTGCTTTTAAGCTGATTGCCATGAGACCACATCTTTTGTGATTCTTGAAATCCAGTATCTATTTAGTCGATGGAAACTCGCCAAGCATTTATCAAGCTACAACTAACAGGGGGATGAGAGTCTGCAACAACCAGATGACCTTGAAATTTCGTGGAAGGCATTAGGTTAAATGCAGTTTTGTACTGTGGTTTTCAATGCCCATTTCTGTAGAATTCTTTGTTGAGCAACTCTCCATTGGTTGGATCTCAATCAACAGGTTACTTACCTCCACAGCATTGTGTCATCTCTTCCATGAAGTGGGAAGAAATCATCACAGTCATCATCAACCTGTAGGGTTTGCAATCCTTCAGCAGTGGCATCACAGTGGGATGTTGTTGGCAACAGCACCACAGCAGATCTATGGTGGCCATCACGATGTTGGCTTATCCACTTTAAAGTTGGATTGTGGACAGCTATCCAGCGGACTAAACTTCGCTGGCTCCCATATGGCTTTCGGATGGGCCCACGTGATATTCTTGTAGCTGTCTGCCAAAATAAAAATAGCAAGAAAGTGAATGAGCTTGAAGATAAGAGGCTTCTCTGGTTAGGCCAACACCTATTTAATGAAGTTCTATCATAGGTGCAAGATCAGGTGATATACAAGCTCACTTTCATTCTTATGCCAATAGGCTAGGGCAACAATTATTAAACATTGACAAACATGCCTGAAAAAACACAAACATCACCAATTCTGCTGGTATGTAGTAATAATTGAAAAAATAAGAGAATGAGTAAAAACAACCACCCACTATCATCCATTCCTTGATATGCTTTCCATGTATCTGCTCATCAGAGCCCTCCCCCTTATATTGTCAGAACTCTTCCAGTGTTTTTGCAATAAGTTCACATGCTTATAAATGGCACTGGTGCAACTAGAATTTTGACTCAAAAGACATCTACTGAATATTAGTTCATGATGTATGTGAGAATAGAAGAAATGTTAGTTCCACTCGTAATGGTAGGCCCATAGGAAACAATAGTTCACATTATAAGGGTGAGTGAATTGATTGCAAAATCACTGTAGAAAAGAATCCATGGGTAATGGCTATGTCCCAGCTCTCTAAGGGGGAATCAAGAAACTTGGTAAGTCAGATTGCTTTTGCTTGATGGCATAGCAGACCACAAAGGTGCCATTGCTTGGCTAAGGAAACATTATGTGGAAGGTACTTACTTGAAAAATTCTGTTTATGAAGGAGTTGATACCAAGAATTTCCACCACCAAGCACCCCACTTCATGAAAATCCAAGAACAGTTCAAATAATGTTTCCCATGCAGTTGAGGTCATCTCTGTTCTGCAGGAAAACAATCAACAGTGACTATCATGGAATTTAGAAGGTGATGTAGGCTTAACTAACCCTAGAGCCTATGCTTATATGCATAAGGCAAAAGATTTATGGTTAGCTTATTCATGCCAGAAGCTGTATTTTCTACTAGGTTTTCATTCATAAAGAGAGGTTATTACATACAAATTGAAAAGACCTCAAGTCTGGTCTTTGAAAACCCTTTAATATGTACAGTTGATGCACAACATAATGAACTCAAAGAGATGGGCTAAAAAAATGGGTTATAGGGAATTCCCCTCATTTTGCTGGGGAAAAAAGAAGAGATGTTAAACTTATGTCAATATCACTTCAAAAGGTCACTTAGTATAAAAAATAAAGTCATTGTCCATTCATAAAATGAGTGCAAAGATCTAAGCACATACAATATTGCAAAAATCAAGTTCTCAAGAGTTACATATGTATTTAAATGGTGTGGTAAATCAAGTGTGATAAAAATTGGATGAGCCAGCAACACTCTATTCATTGGAAACCAAGCCCCAAAGGTTGTCTGCCATGCTCCTTCCTGGATGACTCTTTGAATGCTCTACAGACTCAATGTTTGAAAAGTTTCAGGCTCAACATTTGGCCTCAGACTGGAAAATAGCTGAAGAACTTCATAATACAGAACAGTTTTGATCCTTTGAATGAAAAACGACTTTATAAAACCAAACAATTCATTATACAGAAACTTTTCAAAATGCATGTGAATGGGCAAACAGCTGAGAACTGGAAAAAATTTTGTAGGAAATAAACTAAATTTGGTGCCAGTATAGTGTGCACTCTACCTCCCAGGCAAGCAAGCAAAACCTCACTTGCTCAGGAGGTAGTTCAAAAAGAGATGGCAAGGGGGGTTAACTTTAGAATCTGTTACCATGCCTTTGGGAGCAAATAAGTGTTAATATCCTACATATATCTATATGGATCTATTGGTAATATATTTTTTATTCTCATGGCATGTTTTCCTATGCCCTTCCAATCTAGTGTTTGTCATTCCAGCAAGACCCTTCATTGCATTGGCACAGTTGGTGGACCCCCATTATTTTCTCCTACATTCGGTGTTAAAGGCCAAAGAGTGAGAAAGTCAACGTATTTTTGGAGGCTGCTGCGTTAGAAAAGGGTCGCGGCCAAAGGGAGCGATTGTGTAAAATTCCTTGGGTTAGTTCTTAAAAAGGTGCATGGAGCTAGAGAACTGCCATAATGCTCCCAAATCAAAGGCCACCAGCTGCTGTCCATTCTACGTGTACATCCTTATTCTGTAGCAGTGGTACTCAAACTGCAGTGTGCAAAGTCAAAGTATATTTCAGTATAGAGGAATTTTTATAAGTACCAGGAAGCCCTTTTTCAATGCGGCATGGATAAGGTTGTTCGTGTCTGGATGCGGATCCCTGTTTAAAAAGTTTAAGTATATCTGCTCTATGACGTAGCCATTGCATACAGGCATGGGCGATGCTTCCTGGCTTTACTAAAATCAGTGAGAATTCAGATACTATTAGGCCGAGACTTAATCTTAGGCATATTAAAGGTTTATCTAAACTCCTGGGTGCTTGAATAAGAGCACAGAATGTCAATGACGGGCTATTACGGCTCAGACTTTTCGTTTTATATAGCACCGTTTTGAACCGACCGGCACTTCATACCCACAGCTGCAGCCTGACGGACTACGCAGACGCGAACTTGTATTTTCGTTCATTTGATGTTTTTCGTATCTTTCTTCGTGGGCATTTTTTCAAAAACGAGGTACATCTAATGCCAGCTGGAAATTGATATCATATTTGGCCTAGTTGTAGCATTTCCCGAATCTCCACCTGCGTTGGTTCAATTGACTGCACGGATACCAGCCATGTACCCCATCTTAGCGTCACCGGTGACATCACTGCTACGGCCGTTTCAAGCATCCCTTGGCATGGCATGAGGGACTCCTTGGTTTCGGACATATTGCCATTCCTGAAATCAAAGATGCGTTCCGGGAGAAATAGCAAGGCTTAGTTCTCACATGCGTAAGCCCTTAATGCCTGCACTAACTGTGATTTTCTACAGGTAGGCCTGAACTGACCTCCATGTTAGACTGACTGTGTTTTCGACATAAGATTCATTAAGAAACCCTCATTTCCCCCAATGTCGACACAGCGTATTTTCACACTGATGTACCGCCTACAGTGATTTTCGATTGATTTGCATTCTCCCCTACTGTGGTGGTAGCGGACATGAATTAATTCCCTCTTAAGTCACTGATTAAGCCAAAGGCAGTTACATTGAGGTAGCAGATGTCACTGAGTTGATGGCATGTAGCGGTGTTCAGAAGGGGTAGAGGTTTGCAATCGATCGAAAATCATTGTAACCTTGCTTACTGTAACTTAATCCAATTCTCAGACCAAGCCCTCCTGCATTCCATTATTAACATGGCTTATCTTGCCTGCAACCAGATTATGCACCCATCAAATCTCTGCAATGTCTTTGTGTGTTTTCTGTTGCTCCTTAGTGTTTGATAAACAGGATGCCCACAGCCGTGATCTTTGCATCCTGTAGCACCTCATCAGGCCCCATATGTGCCATATATGAAGCCATGTTAATGGGAATGTATAGTAACACCTACTTTGTATGGTGTGGTATCATGTTTGTTCATCACATGACGTTACATTTTAGAGCAGGCAAGGAAAAATGTTTATTCCACACCCACAGATCTTCCTGTATTACAGTAAGCATTGTGAGGGAAGGTCAATCTTAAAAGAAAGTAGTTTCTTGTGCAAATAGGTAAGTGTCTGCTGCCGATATGATGCCTTCAATGTCATAATGATGAGGAAAAGCATTTGATCTAAAGTGGATTCTTGTGCCAAATATGAAAAAAACAATTTCAAAAATAGTTACACATTTGTATGACAAATTGCATACCCTCACTAAGATAAATTTTGAACTATCAACATGCTAGGTATTTAATCCTGATATGTTTGATGTAATGTATTTTTGTGTCAAAAGCCTATTCAGGTCTGTACATTTCTGATTTCTATATTTGTCATGGAAACAGAAACCACACCAAAACTCAAAGGAGGCAAATTTCCAGGAGATGAGAGGTTGGTGTGGAACTATACTAGAGCATGGCAGCATGTGGTAAATTTCTCATTAGGTAACCGTGGTTCAGTACCACAGTATTTTGGTGGTACAGGCAAGGATTGGTTGGGGGGGGGCTGGCTGTTCAGTTACTAACTCCCAGAAACAATTCTGTGAGGTTAGTTAGTTTCAATTGTGATTATATCAAACTGGGCTCTTGTATTTGGAGAAATATCTCCAAACACAAGGTGTTGCTTTGGGTTTGGTGATGTCTGTGTCTGTAATATCACATCTCACAAGACATGAATATATTTTGTGCTCAGGTACACCAATATGTATGAAGTAAGGGCACACAGGCAAGGAGCAAGTTGAACCCTCAAATGATAGATCTTGGTCCATGGATCAAATTAAATACATTCCTGTGACTTAGAGGAAGGTTTCAGTTTTCCCCAGGTAGTAAGAATCACCTTGGATAGAGATAGGAAGGATAGTTGATGAGGCCATTTTTTAATATTTAGAAATGGATCTCAGTAGTGTCATGGCAGTAGTGTGATTATAGGCATTTTCTGACAGTTCCATACTGTGGTGGCAGTATGAACACAGGCAGTATTCCTTAGTTTTCATACCGTGGCAATAATATTGGGGGGAAAAGGAAGAGGTTTGTATGTTTATTATAAGAACTTAATGACATGGTATGAGGGAAAATACCAATGTACTGCAGTGCCCAAAACAAGGCCAATTTGATGCAACCTTGAACTGTTTCATGGGCCATGAGAAATATGTTTTCTTGTAATATTAGTTTTTCTTTGAGCCTGTGAGAAGCAAGTTTCCCAGATAGTTTTGGTGCTGAAACTTATGGTATGTACTAGAAATTCCTCAGGAAATATGATTGATAATATAAGAAACTCCAGTAGGTTTACATCAGTATCTTTAGGTGTTCATCATTCATCATCAGGCAAAACTGACCCAGCAAAGAGTTAAAGTTGTAGACATTGCTTGATTCATGGTTAAATTCATTAACCTTATGATTTATGGAACTCTATTGTCTTAAGGCATGAATTTTCTCATGTACATGTGCATGACCTTACACAATCCTGCCTACTTTCATGTATGATATCATATTTTACATCATATATAGGGATGTGTTTGATATATTCAGTCTAAGCATGTGTTGCACTTAAATTTACTGTCTTCTACCAAAAAGATTGTAGCTTATCCCATTTTTTACTCTATGAACTAGTGAAGTGACGATGTTTGCAGTATGAGCTTCCTAGGTGTACAAGAGCTACTGGGAAAACAATCTTGTATTCCAATCATTCAATCTAAACATAGTAAGGCCCAGTATTATTGTGATTTTTAATAAGTGTTTCCATAAAAATACTTCTAAAACTGAGTATCAAGTGGTTATTTATTGACCATTGTTATATGCTAGCAATACATATTGATCACAAAAAATCTATGTCACTTGTGATCAAGTAGGGTATGATTAATGACTTGAGTTCAGACTTATCTGATACTTTTTTATGTAGTTCTTTAGCCTACCTAGAGCTGCACTAGTGCTCTTCGGTGGAAAAGTTTAGGGTTATTGATTTATATGCCTCATAGACAATAGATGATAGTCTCTACAATGGAAAATATATGCATGTTTGTCTAAGCTTTGGACCTTAGGTTGTACTACTGAGGGCTTTCTTGTTTCAGGTTGATGGTGCACAGCATGACTGGGCCTGGATGAATTGGAAGCCTTTTGTGGCAAAAGAAGGAAACCCAGATTCATATACAAAGTGATAGAATCTCAGTAGTGTGATGATGACTCAAGAATTTCTTCCTCTTTGTGATGTACTCTTTAACATCATTTCTCTTGCCTCATACTTCTGTGATGTAGTCTTCGATATGGTCACTGTCTATTCCCTTTATGAGTCAGAGCAATATGTCTGGTTTTCTGTGACCCTATCCCTGATTGTGATTACCCAAGTTAGCTGTCAGATCTTCTCTCTGCGATGGTACATAAGACGCCTTCGAAGCAATGAAGTTGCAAAGGACTGTGACCTAAGTTTGGTCTTGGTAATACACTTTCTCCAGTGTGGGATATTATGGCGCTACTTCAAACTGTTCATTCCAGTGGAACTCCAGTATGTGAAGCATGATGTCCGTGATTTGTGTTTGCTGCGTCTTTTACATGGATTTGTTGAAGCTGCACCCATGCTTCTAATCCAACTGTATCTGATTTGGTTGAAGGGATCTTCAGGAGAAGTGACTGATCTTAATTGTGTGTCCACAGCTTTATCATTGTTCAGCGTATGTTGGGCGCTTGCATCATTCAACAAAAACATTCGAAAAAAGAATGTTCATAAGCTTGTGATGACATGGCTTGGTGTCATCTGCCAATTCTTCTGGAGGCTTGGCATGATCACATCAAGGGCTATATCTCTGACAGTGTATGCCAATGTCTATCATTACTGGGTCTTCCTGGTGATGGGGCTCCATTGGACTAGCATGTTTTTATGGTTGGTGTCTCCAAAGAATGTCTTTCATGGGGAAAAAGTTCCTCTCTACAGAAAGGTGATATTCTCAAGCCTTATTGCATTCATTTACTGTTTCTGCTATATCAACCTTGAGGAGGTTAATCCACGATTAAAGATGACAATTTTCTATGTTGTGATGTTTTTGGAAAATGCTCTTCTGATAGCTGTATGGCTTGTTGGAATCTATGAGCAGATGCATTGGAATAATTTGGTGATTGTCATTGTTGTCTTTGTTTCATTCATGGCTGGTTTGTTCTTCATGGTGCTTTATTACCGTTACTGTCATATTCGTCGTATGAAACAGTCTTACGTGAATGGCAGTTCAAGAGCAGTTGATGTTTGTGCATCCTGCAAACAAAGGGATTGCTACCATCACAAAACCCATGCAAATTATTGCAGCAGTGATCCATCAGCAAGTGATGGAACAACAAACAGTTCCCTCCATCGTTATCAAAGTTTAGGTTGCTACACCAAGTTGGAGAACCACAACCATCACCATCACCACCACCATCACCATCATCATCATCATGATTTGAACAATGGGGGTCCTTTTGTACCTGGAGTATTCAACTGTAAGTTGAACCAGGCCATCAAACGAAAGAAGAAGAAACCTACAACTTTTGTTCCTCCACCAACAGGAGTCATTACCTCACTTGGACCTAACCCTCATTTTGGCAAAATGGCTTACCCATGGTGGAAAAGGCCACCTGCTGGAATCAGTGATCATGACGACAGCATTGGTTCCCGTGTGAATATTCAGCAAAAGCTAGCTGAAAAGAAGCAGCAGCAGTTAGCTGAGTTGCGAGTCATTGAGGAGGAGATCAAGCAGGGAAAGTTGAACAGACCCCAGCCAGACATGACTGAGACTGGCACACTGCCTCAGCCAATTCCTAAGGCTAAGAAGCAACCATGGCTTGTCCCTGTGCCACCTAAGCCTGCCTTTGTGCCAATGGCTCTGATGAAAGAGAGGTCTCACACCCCTGAAATCCTCCTTTCTCCACATTATCTTGAGAACTCTCGAATCTACTATGATGTTGGACCCAAATGGAAATACCCTGTCACACCCCACCATCATGATTCAGAGTATAGTGAAGAGAGCAGTGAACATTCTCTGGCCTTTGGACCAGTCAGGATTCCTGTGTTGTCTGGTCGAAGAGGAAAGAAACCCAGAGAGAAGAACCTGGCCTATAAATCATATCGAATCCCTTCCGACATTGATAGTCAGATATCTTTGCCTCGATCTTACACTTTGCCTCGTGAGTTCAAATACTTCAGGAAGGCCAAACCACGCAAGATGGTCAGAGCAGAGCATTTCATGGTTTCAGCAAACTCCAGTGATGGTTAGCAATATTCTTGAATGTTTTATCTATTAGTTCCTAGGAACATATGGTTTTTCCATTCTGACAATGGTTTAGTCAAGGGATGTGCAATCTTTCTGGGCTCACATGCTACATGTATGTTGACTTTCTTCCAGGGGTCTTTTGTCTGTAGCTGCACTGAAAGTTGGAGGGGAGGAGGGGTGGCTAAGCTACTTAAGTATGGGCGAGCACCCCACTGCCTTTAAAATTTATTTTTATATGACCAGAGTCAAATAAGTCAAGCAAGTGCATTTATTTTTTCTATCCTTGCTTGTGCCAATTTTAATTGCAATCAGGAAGTTTCAATTACACTGCTTTGAGAATATTTGCATCCCAATGCAATCCTTTCATGTTAACTGTAGTTTGAGCACCTGGTTTTGTCCAAGAAAACAAGTTACAGATTTATTGTCCATTTGCTGCTTTTTTTGACCAAGACCATATGACTAAATGGTTTTGTGTATACCAAGCTCATCACATCTTGTATACAAGGGGCAGTCGTAAAATCTCGAGTCTCCATTCTCGAAAGCAAAAGAGCAAAAAGCAAATGTAGCAGTATGGTAGCCTTTATTTTAAAGTGGAGCTGATTTCCCATGATTTGTAATGGAATGGTCATGTTGAAAGGTGTTATTGAAGATAAATCCTCTGCTAGCTACAATATTGTAATAGCAAAGGTGAAACAAGGGATCATGTTAGCTGGAAGGCATGTTTGAAATGTTCCCATTCTTTATTCATGTAGTCTGGATGGGGAAAAAATGGATAATTACTTTTTGGACATGAATTTATTTCAGGTACATTCTTGGAATCTTGATATGATTTGCCTTTCTTTTTTTAATCTCCAGGCGATGTTGATTCAGGTGATGATGAAGATGACAGAGAAGCTGGAGAACCTGTGACTCCCCTGCCTTTACCTACTCAATACTCGCATTTTTCACGTCTGCGGTCACCTCGCCACTTTGCTGGTCACAATTGCAATCATGAGACTCCTCTGTGACATTCAGTTTGTAAGTGTTGTATCCAGAAACAGAGGAGTATTCAGTTGCTATCTATTGAATTTTTTATGTCTTCGCTCCATGGAAAGCCTTTGTGTCAGTGTGCCAATTGCAAGATCTCAAGCTCAAAAACCTCACGATGCTGCATTTCAGGCCATATTTTGAGTCTTTCCATCATCAGCTTTCTTTCAGGAATGTGAGACCAGAGGGTGCCATATTTAATGAAAAAAAATTTTTAATGACAATAATTTAAGGCTTGATTTTCAAGCTTCTGTTGTGTCAAATGTCTTGTAGTTTGCCTATTGTGTTGTTGCTTTGTAATTTCTTTTAAAGAATTGCCTTTCAAGAAGGAAAGAAAGAAGTGGCTCTCCTTTTTTATTGTTTATGAAAAATTGTTTGGTTTGGCATGAAGTTCATCCCTCTGCATCAAGTGTGTTGATTCCAATGACTGGACTGTATTGACTGTTCCTCATTTCCTTCATGACCCTCTTCAACTTCTTGGACCACAGACTTACATTCTATCATTTGGGGAAGAAAAGGGATCTTTCATGCAGCAGCAAAAGGGGCAAGAGAGTTAGGAAGAGATGAGGAAGTAATCACATGTTGCAAACCTGCCCATTTGCAAGGGACCAATTTTTTTAAGTTTTGGAAAATTTTCAGTTAGCAGCTAAAGCTATCAACTGAGGAATGGCTGTTGGAGTAAAAGAAAATATTGAAATTTTAGCTTGCATATGTTTTCTGATACAGTTGTAGACTTTGTAGGAAAGAGCAAGTGCCTTTTTTGGTTGGTAGTTGACATAATCTCTTGATCTGACTTGAGACAAGATTCATGAATTTGTCTTTTCTCATTCATTTCCTCTTGTTTTGCTGCTACACTACATTCAATATGCCTGTCCATTTTTGTCCTACCCCATAAGGAACTGAAAATTAACCTGCTACTATTTGTGGTTCCTTGCAGGATCTGAAATGGTTTTTTTCAAAACATTTAGATCTGAGTTATCATTCTCAATTTTTTTATATTTATGATCTTAAGAAATTCACTGGGGTCCAATGTAATTATTAGCTTTATTCTTCTATCTCTTAACTGCCAAGTCCTTCACTCCATAGTAGGTGGCTTTACTTTTACTTTTATCACATCCTAACTTGGAAAGGTATGGACTAAGTGGCTCTCTCAATTGTTCACATTGACAGTTATTGCATGCATGTATCTGCACTGTTTGAAGGAACATATATTGATTTCTCTCTACTGTGATCATTTTTTGCATTATTTATGTTGTGCCATGTAGTCCTGTAACTGTAGATCACATAACATGCTTAGCCCTGCCATTTTCAGTCTTCCCTGAAATTGAAAGGAAGATTTGTGCTATAGTTCAGTGAAGTATACTGCAACATGGTTGTGCCTTTTAGAGATGCCTTATCCATTCCTGACATGGTTGTGTTTTCTTGACTGACAAGTTGTTTTGTCAATAATTCATTCTTTGGTGCGATGCCAAGCTGAAATTCTTTTCAGGGCCTTGTCTTCCAAATTGTACATCATCTAAGTGTGAATCTTGACATTTTTGGGTATTCATGATGAAATTCTGGAATCTGGATGCCTTGCATTAAAAAAAAAAATTGTGGAAGTCTTGGGTTGACATTCATTTCTTCAACTCGTAGTCTCACCGATCTTCAGGACACCCTAGAATCTGGCATGATTAGCAATTCACAGAATCTTGACTGTTGATGCGATGATCAGTTATGCCTTGCCGTCTGCGATCAAATTCTTATTTTTATCCCATACACCAGAGGTGGAAAAAAGTTATCTAACTTGGTAATCTGGTTACCGGAAAGGGTAGCGACCGACCGAGAATGCAATGCGAGAAAGAAAAGTAAACAGAGAAAAGCGAGGGGAAAGAAGGAAATGATGCCAAAGGGAAGAGCGGTAAGGCAAGATACGGTCAGAGTGTTCGGGATGAGGGATGGTAAGGGATTGAAAGAAGGTAAATGACTGCGACAAGATCAAACCCCAAGAGGCACTGGGAAGATATCCCCTTGTGACTGATAAGTTCACGGACGAGGATATAGATTTTTTCCTCCAGTGCCGAGCACGTTGGCGGAAATATCTCAGTATTGCGTATTTCCTCGTTCCTCAAGTTGTAGGACCCCGTTCTAATGAGGATAGAAGGTAAGAAGTGAGGGCATCGATCAGATTTGTCCGACTGTTAAATAGAGGTGGCCCTTGTCATCGGCATAAAAAAGGGATCATAAATTTGAATGCGTATTTCACGAGATGAGAGATACTGACCACCGAATTGGATTTATTGCGCCACGGAATCCCCTTCCTTTGCTCTTTAATCAACCAGTCGGCAGTCAGCCTTGCGTTACCAGACTTTCTGCTGACAGATTAATTGTTCCCTTTGTGCCTCTTTTCAAGTGACATTTGACCCTAGGATTAAGAGAATACATTAATCTCCATTCCCCATCGGAGCGCCATCCAATTGCATCCCGCTCTTTCGATTCCGCACATCACGCTCTGTGGCACATGTGGTCCTGTGCCAGACCTCCTGGTACGTAGCAGTTCGTGTGTCCTGTCAACTCGTATGCATCCTGTCACTGAGACAATATCTCCTGGTGCCAAGGACGAATTGCCCTAATTGAACACTTAAACCCTTTGGCAAGCCAAAGAGCTTCTAGTTCAAGCTCTTGATCTCCGTTTTGGAGGAAGAAGTTGCTGGCATTTTTTGCGAAGAACGCTGAAAGCATACAAGTTGAAGTTACAACATGCTGTTTCAGAGGTCATTGACCGATTGAATAGAGAGAAGAGGAGGATTGAAGTATGAATTCAATCAAATAAATATTCCAGTCCAGAAATGAAAATATGAATCGAATTCCTTTGCAGAAAAACCTTTAAAAACTCTATCAAATGACTTCAACTTTAATAAATGCCAAGGGCTGTGCCTCTCTGTGCACTCCCCATTAGATCCCGCTCGGGGGCTACACATAGGTGTTTTCATTGAATCAATAGTGGTGACTTAAAATTAATATTTGGGCAAGCACACACCCCCCATGGAGAAGACGAATTACTACATGCTACCCAGGTAATGCTTATGCTGGGCTATCTTGGGTAATCATACACTCAATGGACATTGAAATACGACCACCCCCCTCCCAAATGGTAGAATGTGTGCCATTGGAATAAAAGCACGTCGGGGCGAACGCAATCACCAGTTGATGCGTGATAGTGGGTACAGCTAGCATAAAGTCTTACATGTGAACAGCATGGGAAAGGGCCGTGATTTGTCGGATTTTTAACGAGGCGATATGAGGTTGGAGGTCATATTTCAATGTCCGCTGAGTGTATATCAATAATGCTTTTCTGATGTCCGACAAGTACAAAAAGAGAGCAAAAAATGGCAATTGGAGTCGAGATCTTTAACCCTTTACAGACCGCGTGAGGTGCAGGCAATCCTACGCTTATTTATCCTACTTATGAGCGTCCAAACGGACGTGACTAGTTAAGGGATTAAAAGCCCTGTTACACTTGGCGAGTACTCGCTAGGGAGTACTCGTCAGCGAGTGGGCGAGTGTGGTGTTACATTAAGCGAGTACTCACTGGTGAGGACTTGCCATTTACTCGCTTCAAACTGCCAGCCATCTATTCCACGAATGGGGAATTTGCTTTTTTGAGCACCTGTGTACAGATGTCGATAAGTATGAGATATGCAAAGATGATGGCTGCCCGCCGAAAGTTGGAGTTCCCATCAGTCATGGTGGATCTAGTCGACAATGTGATGGCACGCCAACTGTCAAAATGACACTTAGGATGCCAAAGAAAGCCAAAACAGATATCTTCGATTCTGTTCAAATGATTTTTCCGAAGATCCACGAGCCATTCACTTCATATTTAATTTATCCCAACCTCTTCAGTCATGCAGTGGTCATAACCAATCTCCTACTAGTTTCACACCTGGCAAGGTAACGAAGGGATGAAATAGCAATTCCTCTGGTTGGGTCTATCAGTACCGTTTTCTTCTTTGTCACCCTTGGAGCCACCTTCTCTAAAGAGTCTCTGGAAGGTTGCTTCGTTCATCCGAAGAAAGCCAGCGACGTGATTGGGAATAGACTCTTTTAGGTGGAGCAGTAAAAAATTGTGCGCCACCAGAGTAGATCTTTTCAAGAGCCAGAGCATCGTCTAAACTCGTCCGTTGTGCCTCCCACTCTTCCTGATAATGTACCATACACCAATGAGGGCAGCAGTGACACTGGCGTTGAACGGCAACTGATATAGACGCATCCCGAACTCATACCAGACGCTTCGCGTTGACCTTTTCAACTCCTGTCATGGGAGGAGTGGGACTCCATCTTGCCTCGAGGTTGCCTTTTGATTGGTTCTTGCTAGCGAGTACTCGCCTGAAGTTTGAAATCTTTCAAACTCTTAGCGAGTGGGGTGTTACACTAAGCGAGGGGCCCTAGCGAGTACTCGCCTAGTGTAACAGGGCCTTAACCTTCAAAGGATGCTGTGACTATTTGAGGACTGGATCATGAGCTCTGCGCTTGAGAGTGGGCACACGAAAAATGCACCGAAGAGATTCCCGATGCTTCCATGGGTGCGATTTCATGAATGCATTTAGAGACGCTGTTCAGAATTTTCTCACATTCTTGAGAAACAACGCTTTTGTCAAAAACACTTGTTAGTTGCGAACGAGTTTGTCTTTGATTTCAAAACTGCAACTCTTTCAACAACAAAAAAGCCTACGAGCAGAATCGCTTGTTTACCCGTTTCGCTTAGCCGCACACTTTGCGCGTGGAAAAAGGAGGCGAGGCTTGCACTCCCTATCGAAAAGCTGGAGAAACGAAAAGAAATGTAAGCGCTCGGAAGTACCTCTTCGAAAGTGGTGTCCTCCGTGGATAGTCCTCCGAGTTATAGTATCTTGCGCTGCAACACAGATGTCGCATTTACAACCGGCTGCAGTTCTTTCACTGGGCTTCAGAAGCTGAAGCTAAATGTGGTGTAGGAATTTACATAAGACCCTATACAATTATTTAAATGTAGTATATGTATCGATGAGCCAATGCTAAATGAAAATTGAGTTACCCATATTCCATCACTCTTCTCTACTTTTCATGCTTCCTCACCGAATTTGAAAATTTTCTTGTTCAGTGTAAATTTGTTTTGTAATTTCGCTACTATTCTTCAGATTTTATGAGCTCGAGCTCGAGCCCGTGCATTCTTTCTATTG